GACAGAAAAATCTTGGAAGCGCTGACTGAATTCTTTCAGGAGAAATGTGATCACAGACACATATTCTCCCATTTTAGCAGAGAACTTGGCATTTGGAAGTGCGCTACAAGTTTTGCAGTTGTGACTCGAGGAGACGGAGCTTCGCACGGAATGCTTCATGTGCACATACAGCTGGTACCAGGTTTGCCTTGTAGTCTCGTGTTCAGTGTGTTGAGATGATCAATGACATCAACTAAAAAAGCCAGGTCTGCCAACCATAAAGGGTCAGTGATCTCATGGAGAGATCTACCCTTTTCTTTCAAAAACTTGGTATTTGATCTCAGGGAATAAAACCACTGCAGCACGGAGCCGCGACTGAGCCAGCACACTTCGGAACGGTAAAGCAGGTCCCGTATTCAGCATCAGAGAGGAACGCTTGAAATTCTCTGTGGTTAAAGCCCTTGTGCTCGAATTATCCTTACAGTTTTCACAACCGTGTTCAACTAAGAAGTGCAATACAGTGGGCATAGTCCATTATATTGTTAAATTCGATACGGGCCAATTAAAAGTGGATGGCGGCCCGCAGTTGGAGGAGTAAAAATTCGTGGACATGGTGGAGGGATCACCGTCGCTTCCAGCATCGCGTCTGGTCTCCATTATATGTTGTAAACGGACACCTGTGGGTGTCACATCTCTGATCTTACCTGAACAGGTGTTTGGCTCTTACCTGAGAAGGTAGACTGCTCTCTCAATGTCGTTAAGGTCTTCATCCACAGTCAGCTGATCAATCTCCTCGGCTGTCTGAAACAGACGTCAGATTATAAATATTCATTCGTACAAAAATTCACGTGTCACCTGTATATCATCACTACTAAGTTTACAGTTGTGTTTTAATGTGAAGAAATTGTTCTACCTGTGACTATTCTCACTGACTTAATAACAATTAACAACAACACTAATACAATCCTATAATCCACAATGTCTCATATTCTGATCAAATATATTTATTTAAAGTTGAAGAAACAGCAATAACACCTTAAAGATAAACCCCAAAAATATTAATATATCGTATGAAGTAATATGATTTAACAATTAGATGAAATTCATGGATTGCCTACTCAGGGTAGGGAATGTTTCCTTACACCAAGTGAAGGTGTTCAAGTACTTTGGGGTCTTGTTCGGGAGTGAGGGGAAGATGGAGTGTGAGTTTGGTCGGAGAAGTATTGCACTCGCTCTACCTCACACGAAAAGAGAGCGGAGCTGGAAGGCATCTACCGGTCAATCTTTGTTCCTGCCCTCACCCATAGTCATGAAGGATGGGTCATGACCGAAAGAACTAGGTCACGGGTACAAAGGGTCCGAAATGGGTTTCCTCAGGAGAATGGCTGGCGTCTTCCTTAGAGGGCGAGAAGCTCAGCCATCCATGAGGAGCTAGTAGTAGAGCAACTGCTCCTTTGTGTTGAAAGGAGCCAGTCGAGGTGGTTTGGGCATCTGGTAAGGATGCCCTCTGGGCGCCTCGCTGGGGAGGGGAAGAGGCCCCGGGGAAGACCCAGGACAAGGTGGAGAGATTATATCTCTGCACTGGCCTGGGAACGCCTTTGGATCCCCCAGTCAGAGCTGGTAGATGTGGCCCGGGAAAGGCAAGTTTGGGGTCCCCTGCTGGAGCTGTTGACCCCCGAGACCCGACCCCAGATAAGCGGTTGAAGATGGATGGATTGATGGATGGATGGATATGCAAGGTGTAACTCATGAAGTCTTTGTCCGGGAGAAACCAGACCTAAGCAAAGAGGTTGTGCCCAATCCATCGGGCAACGAGGGGGCACCAAGCTGGAGGTTGTGGAGTTTAGCACAGATGCCTGGATCCCCAAACTTGCATGCTAGAGCAACGGAGGGAGCTTGGAGCACAGAGTGAAAATATGACGCTGCCATGTCACCTATGCATTGGAGCCGGTGACACCAACAGACTTAACAAACTTGTTAAGAAGGCCGGCTCCATCATTGGCTGCAAACAGGACAGCTTGGAAAAGGTGTTGGAGGGGAGGTCACTGAAGAAACTGTTATCCATATTGGATAATCCTGACCACCCCCTCCACCGCCTGCTACAGGGACAGCGGAGCACGTCCTCCAACAGACTCCTTCAGCTCCGCTGTCACAAGGACGATACAGGAGATCATTCCTGCCCAGTGCAATAACACTTTACAATAAATCATCCCAGGCTAAATAATGACAATAACAACCCTGTACTGCTGTGATGTTGCTGCTCTTCCTCTTCTCCTTTTACAAATTATTATTATTGTCTCTTTTGGAAGGTTATTCTTTTGTTTCAGTTTTAGTTTATTTAACTTAATTTAATTTAATAATTTAATATTTCTATCTTATTATATTGTATATAATGTGTATCTTTTTATTCTATTTTCCTCCCTGTACATGCTGCTGTGATACCAATATAATATCTTGAGGGATCAATAAAGTATCTATCTATCTATCTATCCATCCATCATCTATCTATGTTGAACCGTGTAGCAAGAAAAGGCCGCCGCCTGAAGTATGCCACTGAAAATGTTAATAAACAGCCTGGAGCCCATTGAGATCCTCCCAGAAAGAAGGCAACTGGTATTGTTGGAACGACTGCAAGTAGATGATGCAAGTAGCCTAGCAGCTACCTACATGCTCCGGGCACTATTAGTCTTTGAGTGGTCCGTTTGCCACTCATCCCCCTTCTGTTTGACACGTGGAGGAATTCCTTTGCTCAGTCCTCTTTGTTTTACTGCCAATGCAAAAAGCTCTCTCCATCTTCAACTACCGTCTCGGTCTCTCCAATGTAACTGACTGCAGCCTGCGGCGGTTTCAAGGGTCGGGGGTCAACGCACACCAGAAGTAAACAAAGTTGCATTAAAATATTGTATCGCATTAATCTCGGCCACAATAATCTCATAGATTAACGCGTTAACTTTGACAGCCCTATTAAGTATACATGTATATTTGTTGTGGGTGAAATTAATGCTGACAGTTCAGATAATGGGAGTGACTTATTCTGCCAAAAAATGACTAAACAGCATAATCCTAGGCCATGATAGAATGAATATGTGTCCGAATTCCATATCGAGGCAAAAAGCTTTTAAAAACTGGGTTTCATCATGGAAGCAAGGCATGGTCCCGAGTGTGAACAAAAGAAACATGTAAATGCTTAGATTTAGATTTTAAACAAATTCTCCTCGACAGACTTCAAGAATACAGAATGAACATCAACAACACAGAACAGACATATGTATATATGCAGGGAAGAGGTTATAAGTAAACATAGGAAACTCTACACTCTTTATGTGTTTCCTGGATGCATCAAAAACGTTTGACAGAATGAATCTAAATTGTTTGCAAAACTACAATAACGAGGGGTGCCTCCATACCTCATCAGGATTTTTCACTTTTGGTACCCACATCAAACCTTGTGCACTGGATGTGGTAAGTGTGTATCTGCACCCTTCCTAGTGACAAATGGGGTCGGAAAAGGTGGGATAATGTCACCTGTAATCTCTATATGGATGACCTTTCTAATAGGTGTAAAACAGGATGTATGGTGAGAGAAAGTCTTAATTATTCATCTGCTGTACGCTGATTCCATTCCATTACATGTCTTTTGATTTTGTATCCTTATGGTTGAAATGCACTGAAAGTCGCTTTGGATAAAAGCGTCAGCTAAATGACATGTAATGTAATGTAATTATAATCTCTGCGTATTGTGCTGGTTTGCAGTAATTGCCTGGAATCTGCTCGGTATGGTGTGCAGTAGGACATTCAATTCAACTCTAAAAAGAGAGTTGTCATGATTGCTGTAACCATAGAGGATCAACAGCAAAATTTCCCTTCATTCCCCAAAGAGAAGAATGTGATTTATATGATCTCCTGAGTCTGGAAATAAATAAAATATTTAAGTCTTAAGTCATCAAAAACACCTTAAACACAAAGCGAGTGAAGTTAACTCTTAACGAGGATCGTCAGTTACACATTAAACTGTGTGTGTGCGTTTGTGTGTACATGTATAGGAGAAAATGGGGGTGTGTGACTTCGTCATGACTCGGGGTTTCTCCCATAAGACTCAAATGTTACGCCCCCTTACGTCATTATCAACACGAAGCCCCGCCCTTCCTCCCACACAGTTTTAGCTGACAGGAGCTGGTCACATCTTGGCCCCGCCCACTTCAACCTGAGTTATTAAAGTATTTTGTCATGATTCTGCCTAATAATAATTCTAATTATTAAGTTGAATAACATACATACACTTGCAAAAGAAGCGAAGGTTTTTTTATTTTATTCGCTGATATAAAAAAAGAGTGATTCACCTTTCATTATTAATTCATAAAAGGTTTCTAAATCAGTTATAAACATAAAATAAGTTTTATCAGGCATAATGTAAAATATGGAATAACTGGTTAATAATATTATCATCTATAGCCCCCCATCAGCTGTTTATTCTTATATTAGACGGTAAAAGTAAAACACATTCATCCTTATAATAATAATATATAAGGTATACTATATGATAATCTGATCATAGATTATTAATGCTTCTGATATGTGAAGGAGGTTTTCCGTCCTTTATAATAACGTTAAATGATTGATTATCAACATTGTTTCCGGTAGATTTTGTATGATCAACTGAACTATGAATGAAGTCATTATTTGGTTATTGCTATTGATGAATTTGTCAGATAAGAACCGGAGATCCAAGCTGTCTGTCAGACTGTCTGCAGTGAGACAGTCTGACAGACAGACAGAAACTGCGTCATGCTGCGCAGATAGCGGGTCTCCCCTGCGCTTCCTGCTCATCTTCCTCCCACTGACTCAGACAACATGTTGTCACATTCTCACCTTCCTCTTCTTCATTACTACACATGGCACATGTCACATGTCAAGCATCACATGTCCAGCTAATGAAGACGTGAATCTGCGTCACGTTCACGTTCATAAAGAGACGAGATACCTTGAGACTCCTGCGGATGGGCCTCTCGATGAAGGCGAGCTCCTGCAGCTCCTCCAGCGGTCCGTACAGCAGGCTGCACTGGTTCCCAGTCATCCTGGTGCTGGAGAACATCTCTCACTGGAAGGCTCCCAGTGCCACACTGGTGGTGAGTGAGAGAGCAGAACTCATGACGATGACAGGAGGAGAGAGAGGCGGGGCGCTGCGCTCCCACCGACCGTTTCCGAGGAGATCCCCCACTCGCCAGACTCCGTTCAGAATTCCAATAATATAATAAATCTTTGGTCATCTGATGACGTCGCAATGTGTCAAAGGTTCAAAGTGAATCGTTAATGAATCACCAGCGTCCCCTTTTCTATTCGGCGAGCAGAACACATCCAAGCTTGTTTACGTCACACCTCCCTTGTTATCAAGCGCATCTGTTGAATATACTCGCGGGTTTGTTTCAGGAGGACGAGGTCTCTCTCTCTCTCTCTCTCTCTCTCTCTCTCTCTCTCTCTCTCTCTCTCTCTCTCTCTCTCTCTCTCTCGCCGAATGGAAGGGACGCTAGTGATTTATTAAAGATTTACTTTGAAACTCTCACACAATGCGACGTTTCCATGGAAACCGGTTCAGCTGCTGCAGTGCAGCTTTCCCTCTGGCACAGAGTTGGTTCAAATGACTAACTAAATTCTACATTTTTATTTTATGTTGTTATATACATATAATATATTATATATAACATGTTCTGGGCCAATGTGAGCATATATGATAATAATAATATATTACATACAGATTTCTCAGGTCAGAATCTTCTAGGTTTTTTCCGTTTCTCTGACCTTCGGCCAGCAGAGTCTCGTGTCACAGCTTTGGCCTCTTGCGAAGACATAAAAGCAGCAGAGCTTCAAGGTCCAGACCCAGAAGCACACAGAGAGGGCGACTGGAAGGTCCCAGGTAAGACGACTTTGTTTCATCGGCTGCTCAGTAACCCTAGGCTCATGTCCATTGAGACATATGCATATATACAAGTATATATCTATAATACATATGTATAATTGTAACTTTATACTACTTATGTTATTTGTGTAGTGATTATAATGTTGGATTATCTCATGTCTCTGTTGAGTTCTTTTTATAGTATATTGTGTTTTTCATTATGAAACTAACTATTGTATGTTGTGACTTTAGTTATTAAAAGGTCTTAGTGGAGTATATGGTCAAGTAGCTGACAAAGTCACAAGTAAAAGAATGGAAGGATCAAACATCAAAGTTAAGAGTGGCAGCTCTGATGATCAATACCATTGATGTCAGTGTGTTTTTGACACATTGAAAGTGTATCTGTTGACTGGAGACCCTGTTCTGCTCTCTCACTCTGAATACTTTGGCTTGTGGACAGAAAGAAACACCACTGACCTCCATAACTTAGAGCAGGTTGAGCCAAACTTTAAGAGTCTCAAATAACCCGCTGCTTCCATGCTGAGCTTATTTATTCCAGTAGCTTTGGATTTAATGGAAAACCCTGCTGCTGAATATCAGACTTCTGACCGAAGCTTTTCTCAACAATTGTGTCTTCTTTCGTCCGATAGATGCATGATGGCAGTGTCTGAGGTGAATCTGGATGACTACAGTGTTTATAGCCACCTGTCTGATGAGGAGCTGGTGCAGATCGCTGTGGAAAGAAGCCTCTGTGAGAAACTCCATGAGGACCCATTACCATCCACTGTCCCGTTTGAGCCCATTGGATTGGACCCAGACTGGAGACGTCCTGACCCCCTAAGACACAGGGCCTATGACCCTTCATCCAGACCTCCTCCTTTAGACCTTCCCTGTGTACATCAATGTGTAAAACCCCCCAATAGCTTGTCCCAGTTCCTCTACGAAGCCCCCAGAAGGTGAGTAAATAGTGTGTTAGGGTTACAGGTATTGGAACCCAAAAGCACAACTCCGAGGCAGAATCCAATCAAAAGTTCTTTACTTATACAGGCAGGGTCAAAACCGGGATAGCAGTCCAATGGGCAAACAAATCCAGAGGGGCAGGCAGGAAATCCGTAAACGGGGACAGGCAGGGTTCAGAAACAGGATGGCAATGCAACAGGCAAACAAATTCTAAAAGGGGGCAGGCGAAGAGTTCGTGGTCAAGAGAAGCCAGGCTAGGTCAGGACGGGACGGGATATCGGTAATCGGAAAAACGCTGGAAAACTTGGCATGCACACAAGACAATCTGGCAGAGGACAAATGGAAGTGTGGGGACCTATATAGTAAGGGGCTAATGAGGGAATGGGTTGCAGGTGGGAAGGGCATAAGGACCAGGTGAAGAGAATGAGGTGATTTCTTGTTGATGACAGGATCTGGAATGACAATGAGTAGAGTTAATTGACAAGAACGCAGGCAGGAAAAAACTAATAAAATGGAGAATTCGTGACATAGAGACGAACAGACCAGAGATCAGGTCAAAATATCTGTAATCAAACTGGCATTGGCAATCAGTCAATTACTTCTGCAATTAGTGCATAACAGCTGGAATCAGTCAAAACTTCTGAAAACATAAATAACCTTGCAATCAGTCAACATTATCTGCAATTGGTTAACAACATCGGCAATCATCCAATAACATCTGCAATCAGTCAACGACATCTATAATTAGTCAAACATCTGCAATCACCCAATACCATCTGCAACATTTACAAACTGCAATCACTCAATAAGATTTGCAATCATTCAAAACAACTGCAATCACTCAATAGCATCTGCATTCAACATCTACAAACAGTTGAACATCTTCTATTGGTCAACCACATCTGCAATCACCAAATAATGCAGTCAGTGAACAACATCAACAGTCAAACATCTGCAATCAGTCAAGAATATCTACTGAACATCAGAATCAAAAGTCCCTTATAGCCACGCATGGTAAACTTACAGAAATTTGTCTTGGTGATTGATGCAATAGAATAGAATGAAATAAGATGAAGTAAAACACGATTAAATCAAGCAAAAATTAACAATATAAGCAAATAAGATAAGTACGTTGAAAGAAATTTTATGTTGGACTACTGTGCAAATGTCCTGGGGATGGGGTGCCTGGGTCAGTGGAAGACTTGGTGATGAAGCTGATGTTCAGCTCCAATTTGAGATTTGATTCAACATACAAAAACAACTCGAAAGAAAATAAAATACAAAATACTGGTGCCAGAAAATGTATAAAAAAAATATACAGGAAACTTTTTTTTCTGGATTTTTGTTCAGGTTTGGGTTGTATAACGTAAACAAAGTTTAACAAACCAAAGCTATCTATAAGACAACAACTTGATTGTTTATGAATATATGAAATAATAAAACTAAGAATACTTTCATAGTATGCCTTTTAATCAAAATAGATATTTATGTTTGTTTGTCAATTTTTTTGTATGCTTTTTAAATGTATTTTTTAACAAATGGACATTTACTGCAATAGCCTGGCTAACTGTGAACTATATTGTCTGTTAGTAATCAATATGGCATTATCACATTCACATAGATACAGCATGTATCTTCAGTGCCATATTAGATGGTCAGACGTCCTTGAAAAGGTTATCATGAACATAAAAGCTCCCAATCTCCCTCTTGCTATAGCTAGCTACGCAACTGATAAGTTAACTTGCTAAACACTGTATCGCTAGCTTGGTATTATAACCATCACCATGTATATACAATAAGCTAGGTACCCAGACATAAATTATACAGTTGACATCTTTCTCACTCAGATAAATATTTACCATAACAGGATTTAAACTTCTGAAGACTGAACAAGTAAATTGTTTTTTTGATTAATGGAGAAAGTATTTTTCTCTATTTTAAATGCAAAACTCCTCCCCTCTATTTTGTTATACTACTATGTTGTATGTTTGTCGTGGCGCAGGGGTTAGAGAAGGTGTGCTGGGAAGCACAAGGTTGGTGGTTTGAGTCCAGGCTGCCCCGTGTTGCATGTTGAAGTGTCCCTGAGCAAGACACCTAACCCCTTTACATTAATTGCTCTCTGGGCAATAATGTAAAAGCCACGGGTTTAAGTGTAATGTAAGTTGCTTTGGATAAAAGCATCTGCTAAATGACATGTAATGTAAACACAGGGAGGGTTGCGCACGTACAGAGGTCTGATAGTTCCAAACCTGCTGTTTTTGTCTGGAGACATACATCTGACCCTGATGGGACGCAGAGTGTCCCGCCGGACATACACATCACACAGATTTCATTTCCTGAGCGGTCATCTTATCTCAGCTGACATATTCTACCCAACTTATTGTACAAACGATACAGACATAGTCTTGTTTTTTCTACACCTCCCTTCTTGCCAAAATGGCCAAAATACTGAAAAGTAATTGAAATGCTTACTGCCCATCTCTGCCCGCAAGTTAGCGAAAATTAGCAAAAAACTAGGGCAAATTGATGAAATCGATAGAATTAGATAATTAAAAGCGTCAGCAACAAATTTCATTCTGTATTTTTTGTGTCGGGTGATTATTACGTCACTCAATGAGTTGCGGAGATGCACGCGGAGCAAAAATAAAGCGCCGAGTCGACATAGAGGAAAGAGGAGCCAGCAGCGCCGGCAGTTGTTGTGAGTCACATGACGCAGGTAGAGACGTCTGTTCGACTAGTCGTCCAACAACTCTGCAATCAGTAAGTAACCAGCTAACATTTTTTGATGATGTTGTCCTCACTGTGGTTGGATGGTGAGCTCTTCTTTGTGTTGATTCTCCATTTTTTTTCCCATCGAAGGGTTTTCATTTTTGCCGATGTGAGGCTTTCGGGACAGAGAATGTTGCATGTGTAAAGCCCTCTGAGGCAAATTTGTATTTTGCAATTCTGGGCTATACAAAATAAAATGAATTGAATTGAATTGGATGTGTGACGGCTCTTTGGCTTCGAGCAGGACCTGCCGTGTGTGCATTGTTTGTGTGTGCTTGTCCCTTCGTTATGTCTTGCAGGTCCATGGTAGGAGGAGCTCGTCAGCGTAACTGGGAGCATCTGGCTAGTCCCCCAGTTTCATTTAAGACCTCTCCGCCCCAGTCTTCACACTCTTGTTTTTGTTTAGGGAGTCTCTCCGTTTTGTTTGTGGGAGTTTTGTTTGGTTTGAAATAAATTTTAACGTGCCGCCTACCACCCTGCGTTTGTCTATTTTTGTCATGGCCCCAGAGCCAGGTTGTGACAAATGAAATACCTTCTTTGATACATATATTTGTTTCACAGGACAGATGTCATTGCTCTTATAGGTTCTCTCTGCTTCATATAAGAAAACTAAGACTCCTGTTATCATTCATAACAGAGTGAGATACTTCATCAGATACCTCCTCCACTCCTTTAATTCCCTCCACACTCTTCCGTCTGCTATATTAATGACAAAAATGGATGTTTACATAGAGTTTGAATTGGTTGTTTACAGTTACATCTGAATGTTTTTGTGTTCTTCAAGATCCCTTTTTTCTTCTGCCTTTCCTTCAGTCAGTTGAGTCCTCTGCAGTCACTGATTATAAATGGAGATGCAGCGGCTCTGATGGCTTTGGTCCGACAAAGTTTTGGTGGTCTGATGGAGCCAGATAACGAAGGCTGGATAGCTCTTCATGAAGCGTCTTTTTACGGTCAGCTGCAATGTCTTGCAATCCTCATCAAAGGTGAGGAGCTGGTTTCTGATCATTCGATGAAGAAGATACGTTTATTTATCTGATACATTGTTCTTCTTCTTTGGCGTGACCGCACCTTTAATAATGCTTAAGTCCATTTAATTCCATGAGTTCAGTAAAGGAGAATCAGTTGTCTTCATCTCTTTAAAATCCCAAATATGTCATGTTTTATTTTCTGGCAATCCATTAATTTGCTGATGAGTTTGTTTTGTACTTCTCCATTTCTCTTTAAATGACAATACAACTCAGTAGATACTTCAACTGATATTGCAGTGAAATTCAGTTTTTAGGGATTTCTTTCCTTACTACAAATTCATCTGAACTTTTGGGGTCAATTTATCGCAAACACATTATAACTCTTATAAATCATTGCTCTTCACTCCGTAACAACACGTGAAAGGACACTTCAATTTGTTTAACTAGTAACCATTTCAAATGTTTAATGGAAGGCGGAAAACATTTCTTTAAAATCATTATTTAACTACGGCATTCACCACACCATCCCTCCTTACCTGCCAGATGGAAGGGACACAAACTGTTTTTGTTTGGAGTGAGAATCTTGAGTATCTTGACTGGCTCTCTTCGGGGTCCTAGCGAACAAGTCCTTGAGGGACGGCAGATTGCTCTCTCCCGTCTTTCATCCTACCTCAACGACAGCAATTATCGGGTAACTTATCGGGTAGAGGATCTTTGTCTGAGCCTTGTCCTTTCAACACTGGGGTCCCGGCTTAGAGGTTCTCTGTACACCAACTCTCTCGGCTCTGTCAGGGAGTAAGACACTGCAAGTTTGACCCTTGACCTATGTTTGTCCTCAGCTTATCCCGACTCGGTGAACAGATGTACTTTAAAAAGTCAGACCGCTCTGCTGCTGGCAGCAGGTCGAGGAAACGTTTCCTGTGTTGACTTCCTCCTGAAGAACGGAGCCAGTCCAAACATCTTCAACAAGGAACGCGAGACGCCGCTGTTCGCAGGTCAGGTGACATTAGAGACCTCGTATGGAGGAAACCTGAGAAATGGTTCATGGGAAAGTCACAAATATGTACCTAACCGGGTAGTCTTACTGTGGTTTTTCAGCCTGTGAGAACCCGAGTGAAGACATTGTAGCCCTGTTGCTGAGATCTGGAGCTCAGGTGAATCGCTGCAGCCTTCAGGGAACCAGTGCTCTTCATGAAGCCTGCAGGCATGGACAACTAAAGCTCTGCAGATTGCTGCTGGAGGCTGGAGGAGATCTCCGCATCAAAAATATTTACGGTATCCAATCGTTCTTCATCGCTGCTCAGCACGGACACACCGACATCATCAAACTGCTCGCTGGAGAAGGTCAGCCTCAAAACGGGTCTCTTATCTATGTCATTACAGGGGCTGATGTTGAAGTGTTTATGGAGGATTTGATTGTACCTCTGGTGCAGATGTTAAGGTTTTTCTAAAGGTGTTTCTGTCCCTCAGGTGCAGATATAAATGAACAGGCAGGAGATGGAGCTTCACCGCTTTTTGAAGCCTGCAAGAACGGCCATGTTTGTGGTGTCAATGCCCTTCTGATTCTGAAAGCTGACGCTAACCTATCCATGAAGTCGGGCTTGCTTCCTCTCCATGTGGCCATTCAGAAAAAACATTCACGGTCAGAAATTCTTTCTGTCCATCACCTTTTAAATTGAACCTGAATCTTTCTGTAGTAAAAACAGCGTTGTATTTTGTGGGCACTTCTTCAGGTAATTGCCCTCACAGGTACTTTTTTTTTCTCCAGAATTGTGTCACTTCTGATTCCAGTGACCAGTCGGGTCAGAATCCAGCACAGCGGCATCAGTCCTCTGCACATTGCCGCAGAGAACAACAGTGATGACATCATGGAGCTGCTGATCAAGTCCGGCTTCGATGTGAACAGTAAGCTGTCGGAGGACCGCTCCAAGATGTACAAAGACCGCCGTAGTACACCGCTCTACTTCTCCGTGTACAACGGCAACCTGCAGGCTACCAAGATGCTGCTGGAGGCCGGAGCGGACCCCAACCTGGACGTCTTCAACGCGCTGCTCATCGCTGTGCAGCTGGGCCGGATGGACATGGCGGTGCTGCTACTGAAGTACGGCGCCAACGTCAACGCTCAGATATCCCCGCAACTGTCCTGGTTCCCGGCCGCTCTCCTGCTGAAAATCGAGTCTTTGCCCATGTTCAAGCTTCTGCTGGATAACGGCTGCGATGCCCAGCCCTGCTTCAACTGTCCGTATGGACAGAAGAGTCATCCAGCTCTGAGTCCAGCACTCCGTCCCATTGAGGAGATGCGTCACAGCAGAGAAGCACCGCCGCCGAGCTGCCTTCATGTCAGAAGTGACCACATCTATCAGCATTAATCTGAGCCTGTGAATGTGTTCACTAAAGGGTTTACTCCATGTTGTTTCAGTTTTGTGAGGCGGTGTCCAGCTCCTCCTTCTGCCTGGCAGCAGGTCCGATTATCTCGCTGCTCTTGGATTACGTCAGTCACGTCTGTCTCTGCTCTCGGCTGCTGGAGGTTCTGGAGAGTCGCAGCGACTGGGTGGACATCAGGCTGAAAGCTCGTAAGAAATGACAGGAGATGGTCATAGCAACAGCACCTGTGGGTATGCGGGGCTCTATATTTCCCAAAAAACGTTCCCTTGTTACTAGAAAGGCATCCCGCATCTTTTTTTTACACTTCTTTTTGTGGGACTAAAATGTTCCTGAGCTCTTAAAAACATTTCAACCCGAAAAGAATTGTGAAAATATTAACAATGATTCATTAAAACAGGCATCATCATTCATAGTGCAAGGTTGTTTGGGGCTTGGACTCCATCCTGATGAAGGATAGACCAGGGGCCGTGTTACCGAGATGAGATGAGGCATATCCACCCTTTGGGAGTTCAGACAATGCTGATGTTGGTAGAGAATAAGTTGCTCCAATCCTATGATATGCCAGGTTTTGCTGTAGACTGGAGGTGTAAGGGGTGGTGGCAGGTCACCTTTGGTGCCTGCTAAAATGACAACAGACAGCAACAGAAAGGAGACCTGTTTTTAACGTTTGACAGCACAGATGCAATAGGTTTACGGTAACAGTGTCCACGTCTGGTTAGCTGACCGTGCAGGAGGCCATCTGAGAACGGCACAGCCTGTCCAGTTTTCCTGACTGAATTTTTTCCCAAGCATCATTTCTGAGCTCGTAAAAATTGCCCTCAAAGAGAAATAGATATGGTTTCTCATAATAAGTGAGTGAATAAACTGTGGTCACAAGGCGAAACCAACCGTCTTCAATAATTTCCAGGATTGATGGTTCCATCCCTCTGTCTGATTGATATAAATATAAACTAACAAGGAAATGAATGGTTTTATAAATTCGAACATGTTTGGCTCTGTACATTTTTCGTCTCTTGAATGTATCAATCATTCAGACTGGATTATGAACGCTGTTTCATTAGGCAGACAAGATGTCTGTTCAGCATCTCTAACAAGTCCTTTGTCTCTGCTGTGTTTTCTTTTTTTCTGTCTTTCTTTTTTCAGTTCCTCCACACCCTCTGATGCAGCTCTGCAGGTTGGAGATCAGACGTTTGGTCGGAGTTCAAAGACTCAAACTGATCTGCACCCTGCCACTTCCGACGAGACTCATCTGTTTTTTGAACCATAATACAACTCCTCACTCACCTGAGGTCCCCCTATTTTGAGGTTGATGCAACACAAAGTCACTTGGAGATACATATCTAGTGTTAGGGTTATATATATGAAACTCCGCCAATTATTTTATCGTACGCTAATGCATTTAAAAAAAAAATTACTATTCCCGGGCAAAAATGTAAAAGCCATGGGTTTAAAGTGTAATGTACGTTGCTTTGGATAAAAGCGTCAGCTAAATGACCTGTAATGTAATATGAGGGATCGAGGATTCACTGTTTACAAGCACAAACTGGGATTGATCTAATAAATAGGATTTAAAACAGCTGAGTGCAGTTCCTTTAATACAAATCAAATGTTCTAGCCCCTGCAACAGGATACAATGATCAATGGAGTCAAATGCAGCACTGAGGTCCAGCAAGACAAGAAAAGAGATGAGTCCTTGGTCCGATGCAAGTAGAAGATCATTCACCAGTGCTCTTTCTGTACTATGATGTGCTCGAAATGACGGGAAGTACTCTAGCAAAGCATTGTTTTGTAGAAAGTCACATAATTGATTTCTCAAGGATCTCAGAGAGGAAGGGAACATTAGAGATAAGTCTGTTGTTAGCTGATGGAAGAGAAGCCTTCCAAGCAGGTATCGGGGCCCACTGCTGCATCCAAGATTCCTACATCTATGGAGGGGTCGGCACTGGTTGAAGGCAGGAGATCATACATTTTCTCTTTGATAATCAGAATCTATTTTTCTCTATTAATAATGAGTAGTAAGATCCTTTTGCGTTACAGAGAGACTTCCTTTAGGTTTTAAGGCTGTCTTGCCAAACAGGCCTAGATCCATTTGATTTGGTGGAACGCCCTAACCATTCAAGTTTCCGCGCAGTTTGCTCTAAGTTCCGGGTTTGAGGGTTATACCAAGGAGCAAACTTCATTCTTGTTGCCATTCTACTTTCCAGAGGAGCAATAGCGTCAAGTGCCATTCTCAAAGAGCCTGTAGCAGTATCATCGATCTGGGACAGACTGAAGTTTTCAGGAATCAGGAATCAGGAAACATTTATTGCCATAATATGTCAGACATACAAGGAATTTGACTTGGCGGTTGGTGCATAACAGCAGACAGTACGAGAGTGGACTACAAGACAACATAGTGCGAGGAATAAAATAAAATATAATGCTATGGGTTACTTTCACAGGAGTCTTCTGATATGTTGAGACAGGACACTGAACTTAGAGCAGAAGGAATGGGTTCTTTAAATGAGGCTACAGCGGTATCCGATAAGCATCGACTGTAGAAACCCTTGGCAGGAGGAGGAGATTCCGGTAGTAGAAGTTCAAAGGTTATCAGACAATGGTCCGACTGTGACATCCATCACATCAAAAGGTTTTTTGATTTTTGGGGAGTTCTTCCTGTGCTGATATCAGGGTTTCGGGACAGAGGTTGTTGCATGTGTACAGACTGTAAAGCCCTTTGAGACAAATTTGTAATTATGCACTTATTGTACGTCGCTTTGGATAAAAGCGTCAGCTAAATGACATGTAATGTAATGTAATGTAATGTAATGTAATTTGCAATTTTGGGAAATCCGAAATAAAATTAAATCTGTCTCACTCATGCTGACCGATCTAACAATAGCCACACAGCAGCAGAATGGAAACAAATACACAATGGTTACAAAAAAACGTTTAATGCACTCTATGGAAGCTACGTATTAACAAGTACAAATACAAAAGGTTGCCCGAATACTAATAATAACAAGCAGTAGCGGTAACCAAACAGAACCCCAACGCTGAATACCGTGAGTGCAAAACGAGTCGATATGAAAAAAAACAACGAGCCTCTCATCTGTCCGAAGAGATGGAACAATCACAACTAAGTTGTGACAGAAATTCTGACTCGGGTGACTTGCACTGTTTGGAGTCAGCCAGGGTTTCTTCTGAATGAAATGAAATGGGTCCATTAGTAAGCAGGAGTCGATCGCTAATTAGCACTTTTTCTGTTCCTATGGCCGACCGTGCATGCGTGGTGACCTGACATTATTTTGTTTTCCAATGCCAGGCGATCTATGAACACTGCCTTGGTGATCGACCTGATCCCCCTGGTCCAACGCATACGCGCACTCACAAAGTGCAACCCCCCAGTGGACTGATTAGGAGTAGCAGCTACTTTTATAGAAATGCAATGTCTTTCCGTAATTCTCACAATATCAAAGTTATCCGGTGGGCCGCACTAGACCCCCGGCAGGACGGATTTGGCGGGCATTGAGTTTGACACCGATACTTTATATAGTTGGAGGGTCTACGATGCCGGGAAAATACACAAATGAAGAAAACTTGCGATGAACCCTGTGCGAACATCAAGGGGAAAGTTTGTTGACATGGTCACCGTATTTTTACAGGTTTTAGCATATATGAGGATTAAGTTAAACCTCAGTGAACTATTATGAGTTTTCTTTAAAATGTTTGTATTTAACTTCTCAGCTTCATTCAGCTCAGCTCTGACCTTCTTATTTGCTCTTTAGCAGCTGAATCTAAAAATAACCCCAGGCTAGACAGTTACTAACTGTCAACCCGTTTTTTACATTAAACATGGTGCTGCACGTTCATAAAAGCATGTAACATAAGAGGTCAGCTGACCAACAAGCTCATATTTCAGGTCCTAAAATAAACATTAAGTAACTAAACCCCTTCACAGTGACATGTGCATTCTCCATTACAGAAAGAGGATGAACTGACAGAAGACACAGATGAGTTTGGAGGATTAACTTAAATTCTGGAATACAGTATATGTGAGTACTTTCAGTTAAATTCGTGTTTGTAAGCTTGTATAATGTATATTGTATTTTTTACTGTCAGTACTGATGAGTGTGTAATCTGTTGTTTTAACACAAGAACCTTGTATAAAGTCGGTGCTGATGTTGGAGGTTTAACACAAGAGACTTGTATAAAGTCACTGCTGCTGTTAGTTGTTTAACCCAACAGACTTGTATGAAGTCAATGCTGATGTTGGATGTTTAACACAACAATCTTGTATAAAGTCAGTGCTGATGTTGGGTGTTCAACACAAGAGACTTGTATAAAGTCACTGCTGCTGTTAGTTGTTTGACACAACACCCTTGTATACTCAATGCTGATATTGGATGTTTGACACAACAACCTTGTATGAGGTCAATGCTGATATTGGATGTTTGACACAACAACCTTGTATGAGGTCAATACTGATATTGGATGTTTAACAGAACAGACTCGTATGAAGTCAGTGCTGATATTGGATGTTTAACACAACAACCTTGTCTGAGGTCAATACTGATATTGGATGTTTAACAGAACAGACTCGTATGAAGTCAGTGCTGATATTGGATGTTTAACACAACAACCTTGTATGAGGTCAATACTGATATTGGATGTTTAACAGTTGTGTACAGACTGTGAAGCCCTCTGAGGCAATTTTGTAATTTGCGATTTTAGGCTATACAAAATAAAATTAATTGAACAGAACAGACTTGTATGAAGTCAGTGCTGATGATGGATGTTTAACCCAACATACTTGTATGAATTCAATGCTGATGTTGGATGTTTAACACAACAAATTAGTTTAGTCAGTGCTGATGAAGGATGTTTAACCCAACAGACTTGTATAAAGTCAGTGCTGATGTTGGATGTTCAACACAAGAGACTTGTATATACTCAATGCTGATATTGGATGTTTAACACAACAAGCTTGTATGAGGTCAATACTGATATTGGACGTTTAACAGAACAATCTTGTATAAAGTCAGTGCTGATGTTTGATGTTTAACCCGACAGACTTGTATGAAGTCAGTACAGGGGCCTATTGTACAAAAGTAGAATAAAGAAATCCAGGATAACTGAAAAAGCTTGACTTAGTGTGATCGGTTGCACGTTTGCCGAGCCCGGATGAGAAAGTGGAGCTAAATCAATCCAGGTGTACATAGCTGTGCTGGGATTCTGTCTCTGACAGCTCTATATGCTTGTCTTTTGTCTTGCAGACGCCACAGCTCCACCATGTCGGCCAACATATCCCGCTCTGAGGCCTTGGAGGATTATTCTCTCTACAGTAACCTAAATGATGAAGAGCTTCTGCAGCTCGCCATTGAGCGCAGTCTGACTGACACACCTTACAATACTTGTGATCGCATGACTTCTAAAACTGCCTACAAAACTCCTCCCCAACCCAACAGCAGCAGCCTGAACCCTGAGGCCAGAGCCAGGAATCCATCAAGGCACAGCTCCCAAAATCCCCATGCCAACTACAGCTCCCACAATGCAACCTCAGCCCAAGCCACTGCAAACTACAGCTCTCCAAATCCTCCAAGGGAGGAGCTTCCCGATCTGTATGTAATCTCAATTTTTTTTTGAATTTGTATTATTTTCTATATTGTATAAGAAGAATAACAGTTTATCTTATTTCAGCATTTTACTGGTGGAAGTTGGTCCTCGTTGTATCATTAAGGCAGATGAAGTTTAAAACAAAGAAGACAAAAAAGCTACTGTAGTTAGTAAAGTTGGTAATTAGCCGTCATAATGTTTTTCTTCTTTCCTTTAATAATAACCACTAATTGCTGATGATTTAGTATATATTTGAACTTCAGAGGTTATAAATAAAATGTTATTATTATTATAGTCAGTCAAAGTTGATGTCCACCATACCTTTGCCCATTTTTACCTTAAACAAGCTTTCTGTGAAACCATACGTTTATTTGCATTAAAATGTTGCCTTAATGTTGTGTCTGTCTCTGTGCTCTGATTGGCCCTTGTCTCTTCGTTGCTGACTCAGAAAGACGTTTGACGGGACAGTCAGTCATTTCATGACGGGTTCTGGGAAGCGCATGGTGGAGTACCGCAGAACTGACGGCAGTCTGGTCGTCATCGCTCCAGAACCTGAATTGTGAGCCATTTTTTGCTCATGAAGCATCTCTTGACGAGGAACTGCAGTGCCCCATGTTACATATGTGCAACTGACACCATCATAACTCTCTTTGTTATTAATGTCATTACACAAGAGCAACAACCCAAATCCAAATGCATGAGACAAAGACTGTCAGAGTAGGATGTTAGTTCATCCTAGGGGGTGAGTGGCAAACGGACCACTTAAAACACCGCTATGCTAAGCTAGCTGGAAGAGTTGCTAGATCAACATTTTCCAACATTCTGCATCCAAGATAATCAAATATGTGTACTTTTGTATTTAAAATGAACATTAACAATAAACAATAGTGTCTAAAATACTTATTTTTTAAAGCGATTACTCATTACTTGTACAATTTAGTCTTTAGAAAGAAGAAAAACAAACGTTCATTAAAAACAATATTGTAACATCAACAAAATTAATTAATCGATATTACATTACATGTCATTTAGCTGACCCTTTTATCCAAAGCGACTTACAATAAGTGCAGTCAACCATAGGGATACAAGCAAGAAAGTGCAATTCCCTCAAATAAGCCAATTTACAATTTGCTATAGATGAGTGGCGTTACAAGTACCATTTCAGTGCTACAATTTTTTTGTCTTTTTGTCGAGGTAGAGTCTAAAGAGGTGTGTCTTTAGTTTGCGGCGGAAGATGTGAGGGGGAAGATGTGAGGCTCTCTGCAGTCCTGGTGTCTTCAGAGAGCTCGTTCCACCATGTCGGAGCAGGACAAGAGTCGTGATCTAGTCGAGTGTTTTGCTCTCGGGGAGGGAGGGATGAGCAGTTTATCAGATGCAGAGCGGAGAGTGCGGGTCAGGATGTCGGGTTTGACCATGTCCTAGATGTAAGCTGGACCCGATCCATTCACAGCATGGTACGTGAGCACCAGTGTTTAGAACTGGATGAGCCACCGGTAGCCAGTGAAGAGAACGGAGGAGTGGAGTAGCGTGGGAGAATTTCGGAAGGTTAAAGAGGAGTGGAGCTGCCGCATTCTGGATGAGCTGAAAAGGTCGAATGGCGGTAGCAGGGAGACCTGCCAGGAGAGAGTTACAGTGGTCCAGGCGTGAGATGACAAGAGCCTGAATCAGTACCTGGGCTGCCTTCTGAGTGAGAAGGGGGGTTACCCGGTAGCAGAGCCTGAGACACCAAGTTCCTGAAGGGAGGAAATAAGGATCTGGTGGTTGACCGTGTCAAATGCAGCAGAGAGGTCCAGAAGGACGAGGACAGAGGAGAGAGAGGCGGCTCTAGCAGTGTGGAGTTGCTCTGAGACAGCGAGGAGAGCAGTCTCTGTGGATCGGCCTTGAAGCCTGACTGGTGGGAGTCAAGGAGGTTGTTACGGTGGAGATAGGAGGAGAGTTGGTTAAAGATCGCACGTTCAAGAGTTTTGGACAAAAAGGGAAGAAGAGGGGCCGGTCTGCAGTTATTTTCTTCAGAAGGGTTGAGGGTAGGTTTCTTCAGGAGAGGGTTGACTCTTGCCTCCTTCAGAGAATTGGGAAAACAGCCAGATAACAGAGCATTGTTGATGAGACAGGTGAGGAAAGGAAGAAGGTCAGGTGCAATACATTGTAGAAGATGTGATGGAATGGGGTCCCTAAGATCCTAAGAGGGCAGGTGATCGGACGGGCAGAGGTTACTAGGGTAAGAATTTGGTTAGGAGACAGGGGGGTGAAAGAGGAAAGTGAGGGCGATAGAGGTGAAGTCAGTGGGACGCAAGTAGTAGGAGGTGGGTTTGAGAAAGAGGAGCGTATGTCAGCTATTTTCTTGGTAGTTTACAAAGTCACCCGGAAGAAGGGTGGAGGGGGGAGGAGGAGCAGGGGGTTCGAGGAGGTTGGAGAAGATCGAAAAGAGTTTTTTGGGGTTAGAAAATGAAGATTTTAATTGAGATTAATGGAATTTCAAAATGTGCGATTAATAAGTACATTTTTGTGAATCTATTGACAGCCCTAATAATAACCCTCTCTCAGGACTAACATAAGCGTGATAGTTGCCATGTGTATAGAGGCAAGAACACAGCCAGGAAACCTTCTCTAACCCCTGCGCCACGACGACCCCATCCCACATATTGACGTAAATGGGGCGTCACTTTAGGAAGCTAGTGCTTGGTTATGTTTATGCCGTGAGCATCCATCAGGTAAACGCAGGTATTTAAAAGAAATCAACTTGGTCTACATACTGTGAGGCAAATAGGGGAAATAGGAAAGAGGTGGGTTAGGATTTGGGAAAGTTCAGGTGACGCTAACAGCAGGAGGGAGTAGTAAACAGCTTGAAAATGTCCGTTTGAATAAAGAAGGTAACGTGATGAATGCTTAAAACTGACTGAAGTTGTGAAGTGAAGAGTTGTTCCATTTTGTTTGAGTTTCAAGAGAGGTGGGTTCAAGTGAAAGGGTTAAACAAGTTAGATAGGTTAAGGTGAGACAGGTGACTCATGGGTATTTTTCCTGCAGGGAGGAGGAGCCTCTGTTCAAAGCAATCCGTTTAGGTGATGCGAGCCTGGTGAAAGCGCTGACAATGGATCTGGGAACCAACCTTATGCTGCCTAGTAAACCGGGATGGTTAGCGATCCACCAGGCGGCGTGGTGCGGTCAGGACACCTGTCTAAGAATCCTGCTGTCAGGTAGATACACACACACGCACACACACAGAACCTACACATCACAAGAACATCCACGGAAGTCCCTCTGTGTTTCTGTGGCCAGCTCAGCCCGGGATGATCAACAAGAGAACTGAGCGCGGTGAGTCTGCGCTCTTGGTTGCTGTGAGCAGAGATCAGCTAGAGAGTGTTCAGGTGCTTCTGGAAAACGGAGTCGACCCCAACATCCCAAATTATGAGAAAGAGACCCCTCTTTACAGAGGTGAGTCAGGACTACTAAGGGAGTTACCCTTAAACTAACATATCAGACGTCTAGTGATCATATAGGATATTCTATTTTACCTTTATCTAGTAGTGCTAATAGGAGAAAGTTGGGAGGATGTTTTCCTTGAATACGTTCTTGTTTTTGTGTTGTTTGCTCTCTGCAGCTTGTGAGAGGAACATCCCTGCGATGGTGGCAGCGTTGTTGAACCACGGTGCGGTGGTTAACTCTCCTTGTATTTGGGGTTGCACTGCCTTGCATGAAGCCTCAGGTCAAAACAACGTGGAGATTTGTGAGATGCTGCTGAAGGCCGGAGCTAAACACAATCTCACCAACATGTATGGCATCTCACCGCTGTTCAATGCAGCTCAGAGCGGGCAGCTGGCGGCCCTGCGCGTCCTCCTCAAACATGGTACAGAGTGTGGCTGATTGTTCTGTTTCTATTACTTCTGCTGCAACTGTGGTATTGTGCAGAATGAAGAGCAAAGAATAACCATAGAAGGTCTAAACAGCACAATATAAACCGCAGAAGTCTGACCAGAGAAAGAGACTTTCCTTAATCCTGGGAACGTGGTTTATTAAATTTAGAGCATTTGGTGGGGGGCGGGGGGTTATCTGAGCAGTGCTTAGCAGTGCGTATCACTTCTGCAGCTACAGAGAGAACAAGGATACATTGGAATTAAGGGAGCAAGGAATTCTTTTACATTTGATACTATCTTTCAGGAACTAATCTAGGATCGAGTCAGATTACCTTCAATAATTGCAAGTGCAAACAGAAAGATTCACAAATGAAAGAATTGCTGAAAGTATAAAAATGGGAAAGACGCTAAAATTAATTTCAAATCATTTGCTGAAAATACATAAATAGAAGGAGCTGAAATTATTTAAATACACATGTACACAACTACTTACATTGTACACGTAGGTACACATAGGTACAGTATAAATTGCAAACCATTGGGATTTCTAGCCCTTTGAAACACAATCATAAACCCACCACCACTTTAAAAAGTAAATCCAATGGTTATGATCGTGAGCACTTCAAACTACGCAGTGTTTTACAGTATGAGAAGTACAGATTTGTGAGCATAATCTATGCTGATGGTAAACTAGTTAGATAACAGCTGTGATTTTACACAGAGAGACAGACGGACAAGAGGGAAAACGATTGCTTCTCTAACGTCAAGTCATCTGTTTATGTCTGTGCACGAGTCAGCCACACAGGCAAGTGAAGGCAAGCTAGCTAACTAAACACATGACAGATTTTCTCTGGCTGTTTTTGCAACTTGTCAGCAGTTTGATGCTGTTAATACTAGAGCAATGCTAGTTGGTGACATGTCAGCGTCATGCTACCTAGCACCATGCAAGCTTAAGCCCTGCCAGCGCTATGCTAGCTAGTGTGGGTGGATGTGGTGCCTGTCAACGTGCCTCTGTGTGCTCTCAACAACTCCTTACCTTTCGAACACGTAAATCGTTCTGTGTGCATTTTTAAATCGCATATATTTTTGAATTGTTCTGTATGCATTTGCAATTATTGAGACTGATCTGACCCCACAGAGATACACCACAGATTGTCCTTCATGACGTCTGCCTCTTCCAGGATGAAGAGAGGTTCAACAGAGTCATGTGTAAAAAAATTCAATTCAATTAATTTTATTTTGTATAGCCCAAAATCACAAATTACAAATTTGCCTCACAGGGCTTTGCATCCATGGAAACTTGTGAGCCGAGAAAGCACAAATACTCTGTGCAGAAACAAAGTTTGTGATGCATATTAATGTTTACAGTAATAGAAATGGGTATATCAATGGTGTTAGAAGCCAGGCAGGAGCCAGGGCCAGGGTCCAAACGGAACCACAATCTACAGAGACCTGCGAGGCGAGGAAGAAGCTGAATTTGTGATATGCATTAATAAAACGTGGATTCTTGTAGAAGGAGAGAGTGAGAGTGAGAGAGGAGCTCAGCGTGTCCTGAGAAGTCCCCCAGCAGTTTAGGCCTATAGCATCTTAACTAAAGGCTGGTCCAGGCTAACCTGAGCCAGCCCTAACTATAAGCGGTATCAAAGAGGAAAGAGTTTTAAGCTTCATCTTAAATGAGCTGACCGAATCTGCCCCAAGGACTGAAAGTGGAAGCTTTTTCTACAAAAGAGGAGCTTGATAACTGAAGGCTCTGGCTCCTGTACTACTTTTTAAAACTCTAGGAACCACAAGTAACCAGCATCTATGGAGCGCCGCTGCCTCGTAGGGCAATAAGGTGTTAAAAGCTCTTTAGGATACGACGGTGCCTCACCAGCAAGTGCCTTGTAGGTGAGAAGTACCTTCAATTCTATTCTTGATTTAACAGGGACCCAGTGCAGAGAAGTTAATACAGGAGTAATATAATCCCTTTTCTTAGTTCTTGTTAATACACATGCTGCAGCAATCTGAATCAACTGGAGAGGTTTAAGAGATTTACAAGAGCAGCTTGATAACAACAAATTACAGTAATCCAGTCTTGAAGTAACAAATGCATGGATTAGTTTTTCTGCATCACTTTGAGGCAGGAAGCTCCTAATTTTCGATATATTCTGTACACTCAAAAAAATGCTATGCTGCTTGTTACATTACTTAGCGCACATGTATTTTGAACGAGAGTCTCTTATGTCTCAAGTGGAACACGATTCACTCATGTCGGATTCGCATGATTTCAAAAAACGAAACTTTTTTAGGATTCATTCAAGTGGCAAAAAACAGAGACGATTGGGTTCTCGGATAGACCCGCGAAACCCAAGACGAAGCCCTTTTGTTTACACACCAGCCCAGGAAGATACACTTTGGTTTCGCACATGGAAAGGGTAAGCAAATATCCCCCCCCCTCTCTCTAAAGATACACAAATATAAGGGGCATAAAAGTCTTCATTTTTATGTAGGGTGTTCGGGGGGGGGGCATCCAACAAAAAAAAGTTTGGGGGGGGGGGGGGCTACACTAGTACCAGTAATACGATCCATCTCAACAGGGCTCTCAAGTGTCACCTCAGAGCTCTTTCCAATGATAGAAGAGATTTGTCAACTTGAAGGTAACATTTCTATTTGTTACTAATAGTAAATTGATCACTTTATTTGTAAAGATATTATTTGTAATATTTGTAGATTAGATTCATCATGTAAAGAAAAATCTTTACATGATGAATCGTTACAAATATGCTGTGTTTTTACAAATTGCAGAAAGTCACAGTAAGAAAGAATATATAATCTTGAGTCTCGCCTCTTATATTATCCCTAAGGAATTGGAACTTGTATTTTAAAATGTAATTTATTTTCACTTCAATGCATTAGTTTAGCTAGTTAACATTAGTTAATTTCCATAACAATATCTTTTTTAATCAAGACAACATAATAACTTAACCTTCATGGATATGAATTGATTGTTCTATCTGATGTTTTTACAGCAATTTCTGACTGCAAAAGTGTCTGCTATCCCCCAAAGAGTGTCCTGGTCCACCTCACTGACCTGCCAGGCATAAAATGGTGAATGTGTGTGACTGAAAAAGCAATTCCAATGTTAAAAAGCACATGTGTGATGGTCAAAAAATAGGGGCAGTATATGGTCGGTCTCAATATTTGTGTTGGTTTTGTTTGGCTGAGGGGATGTGGAGGTGGAGGTGGAGGTACTCTGCATTTGCATTTCTGCACAAGATCCCGGTAATCATCAATAGAACAAGCCCCATTTAGATATCGAGAGAAGAAGAAATCCCTGAAGTCAACTGCATTTCTATCAGTGTTCGTCACACAGAAAGTGTTGTGTTCAAAAATGAAGCAAACTCCGGACGAACAAAGGATACCGCAGATCGAAAGAGTTTAATAAAAGAATAAGCGTTGCGCTAAAAAGTTAACACCTCGATCGAGGATTCGCAAGCTTCCCCAGTCCACAGGCCACAGAGAGTCCTTTGACTACAACGTAGTTAACCGTCTACCGATTTCACTCACAAACCCCGAACGAAGGGACAAACACGTACATATATAGACAATCGGAAAGGTGTGAAAACTATTCTATTGGTTTGCAGAGTTCTTCTATGATGATTGGGTTAAAGTTGGTGCGGTAGGCAGTGTCCACGCCTCTGGGCACATGACGTCTTCTGATGCGTTCAATGTTGACTAGTTATTAAGTGGTGCAATGTGGTATTACACTAAATGTCGCGTTCAGTGTAACCTGGGTTTTTTTGTGTCTCTGTCAATGTAAATGGTTTTATTACATTTTCCTGTATGCACATTACATTTAATACAATGATATTTTAATCACAACAAAAATGTATTCATTTTCTGTTCTAAGCTTTGCTCATATATTTCATTTCTTTTAAACAAACAGGACTCAATGTGGAAATGTCTGTCGAATTAGACAGGACATTCAACAGCAATTTAAGCAATCTATTAATTGATGAATACAAGACACTTGAGTCAAGTATTAATAAAGTGGTAAGTGCATTGATCACACCGCATTAAATTGATTCTTGTTTTATCAGTTCTTTACGTTCCAATATTGATATTACCAACCACATTTCTCCCACAGTTAGATAGCCAGTATAGCAGTTTTACAAGGTTTATTAGAGTTTCTGTGACCGGCTTCAGGTAATGGCAATTCTGCTGTCAAAAACATTTTTAGGTTGATGAAGTTTTACACCACGACCTTGACTTGTCTTTGTTCATACAGAGAAGGGAGCGTAATTACAGAGTTTACTGTTCAGACATCAAACATCAATCCGGGTGAAGTGGCAACAGCAAATAAAAACCTCATCACTGCAATAAAGCCTTTACAGTTATACATTGACATTACATCGTTCTCATTTCTTTATTGATTACATAATCCAAAGGAGGAGGATTGAGTTTTTAATAACCTACAAAAGGTAAGCGAAATATTTGCATTTTCATCTTATGCAAATGAAATATTCAATACTATGATCAGATGTTAGTCCGTTCATGTTTTAACACCTGTGGTGTTCATTGTAATGTTTTGGGGGATACAAAACAGGTGACCGTGTGCATGGAGTACAGAGGATGTGGTGGGAAGTGTACTTGAGAAAGACACCCAACCCCTCTGCTCCCACTGTGTAGGATGGGTTATACCATACCTTAAAAATGTAAACCATCTAATTCAATGCAAATGCGTCAACTTTAATGACATGTAATGTAAATGCAATGTAAGTCGCTTTGGATAAAAGTGTCAGCATGAATGACCTGTGAATAAACTTGCCTCAACCACATAATACAAGGTTTCTTTATTTGTGTTATTGTCATTTTTAGCACCTAATATTTATTATTTGACTTAACTTAATCAAATCATGGAAAGGATTTCCATTTTATTGAATGGCTTTCTTTTAGCACTAAGAAGTTATGTTCGGCCAACTCAATTCTATTGAGTTAAGTTAATGTGAATTAATAGGTTAAATGTATTTATTTGAACTCAATTAAATTTCAATTAAGTTCAACCAACTTAACTAAATCTAGTTGAAAGTGATTAAAGCATTCATATCAATTCAACTCAACAAAACTATATTAACCCAACACAATAACATAGTGTTAGAGTAACGTAATTGTTTAGCATAGAGAGAAACCTATTTAATCATGTGGAAATCCTTTCCATGACTTTAAGTAAAGCCAACGATTCATTTTTTTGAGTGTAGAGGAAATATGGCAGTACTTGAAGTCTTCTTTATATGAGAGTTGAAGGACATAACCTGGGCGAAGAGAACTCAAAGATTCTTCACAGTGCTGCTGGATACCAGAGCAATTCCATCCAGAGAAACTGTGACAGCTGACTTTGAAGGCGCTCTGAGCCTAAGACAACTTCCGTTTTTTTCCGAGTTTAGCATCAGGAAGTTGCAGGCCATCCAGGTTTTGATGTCTCCAAGACATTCTTGAAGTCTAACAAGCTGGTCGGTTTCTTCTGGCTTGATCAACAGATACAGTTTAGTATCGTCTGCATAACAATGGCAGTTTATGCAGTGTTTTCAGATAACATTGCCCGAAGGAAGCATATAGAGGGTAAATAAAATTGGTCCGAGCACAGAACCTTGTGGGGTGGGACTGCATGACTAACATTGGCGGTCTTCGAGGATTCCCCGTTTACAAACACAAACTGGGATCGATCCGATAAATAGCATTTAAACCAGTGCAACAGTAGCAACATTTTGAAGTAACAACAGAATGAAGATTTGCTATGTGACATAAACTGTACACATTGATAACCATTGTAAAAAATGGGAATCCTGACTTGAATTCTTCCCTCTCTCCCAACAGGTGCAGACATTAATTCTCAGGCTGCTGATGGAGCAACAGCTCTGTACGAAGCTGCTAAAAATGGACATGAAGAAATTGTGGAGTTTCTCCTCTCTCAGAACGCCAACGCCAACATACCTGGAAAGACAGGGTTGTTACCGCTCCATGTGGCTGCTCAGAGGGGAAGTGACATGTAGGCACCCTGACTATTGTCTGCTATATATGAAAAACAACAGAACCAATCTGCTAGGTTCAAATTTTCAACTGCCGGCACGGAGGACGCAAAAGAGAGAATTGAGCAAAGCGAATAAATCGTCAATATAATTTGCTCAACGCTGCCTTGCGAAAGCCAATCAGTGTCACTTCCTGAATGAGTCAGTGAAATTCACCTGCGCTTTAGTGTGAACGCAGCATAAGGATGTCGGTAGTTTTAGGGGAAATCAAGTTCCACAGCTGTTTTAGAACAGAGGGAAGAGGCTCTTCAGATTCAACGGCTGTAGAGAGCCATGTTATGGATGTTTAATAAAAGGACTGATAAAGGATTAGCTTTTATATGATGATTTGCAACAAATCCCTACGAGACTGAAGTTGAAACGGAACTAAAATCAATCTAAGATCGAACTGAGAGCCTTAAATCTTTGAAGCCTGTTTTTGTATTTTATCCCACACCATCTTTCAAAATCAATGGTTCTCATCTAACCCCATCCAGGACCTTCAACAGACGTGAAGTACCCAATATTGTTTGTCTGTTGCATAGCAACAGACACACGTAAAGGGACTTTTTTCTGTAGGCTACTGAAATGCAATCGACAACATTTGGTGTCTACTACTTGTGCTGAAAGGCAGCTATTTACTCTTCTCTTTGTCTCAATAGACATTATTGCTGGGGGAGAAAGTCATCTTTGGTCAGTTCGATTCAGACTGTGTGTGTTCAGTCTTAAAGGACTGATGCGATGCACTGGACGTTCGCTACTTGACTGTTTTAGCTAGCACATGCTAGCTATGCCATCTGTCTGTAATACGTGAAGAAAAACAACAGCAAAACAAGCCTGTGTGCTCACACACCCTCTCTTCAGGGTTAGGGCTAACCCTCTGCACCAGTGAAAACCAGGAAGGGAGGCCTCCAGTCCAACTGCCTCCCTTACCACTTTTTCACTACGCCGTTATGTCAGATTAACAAGATTATATACGTGAAATACAGGACCCAGACTATGGGATGTGAGGACATGTGATAAATCTGTGTACAAACATTACAGTGGTGACATATAGACACATTAATTGCACGTGCTCCAATTGAGCAAAAACATGAGCAGCTCACCGGGTTTATGAGGGATTGCGCATTCCCAGAGGAGGCGCAGCTCGTCGCTGCCGCCTCCCCGTATTTGAACAGGAAAATTGATTGGAATCTAATGATTACACTTCTATCACAGATCAGTTGACAAATATATACATATACGTTTTTATTTTATATTTTTTATATTTCCTGAAGACACAGGTCACTGCTCTGATCTAATCTATGGAATATTTCCTGGTTCCAGCATCGTCTCCATGTTGATCTCGGCCACAAGTAAGACCAGAGTCCGGCGGACTGGAATTAGCCCGCTCCACCTGGCTGCTGAGCGTAACCATGATGACGTTGTGGAGCTTGCGATCGAGGCAGGCTTCAACGTCAACTCTCAGCTGTCTGAAGAACGGTCGAGGCTGTACCAGGATCGCCGCAGCACAGCACTTTACTTCTCCGTCATCAACAACAATATCCACGCGGTGCACATGCTGCTGGAGGCCGGTGCTAACCCAAACGTGGACCTGTTCAGGCCGCTGTTAGTTGCAGCGAGACAAGGCTGCATCCAGATTGTCACTCTGCTGGTGGAGCATGGAGCCGACATCAACGCCTCCCTCCCCACACATCCCACCACCTTCCCCGCAGTCTACATGTTCTCCATGAAGAACCTGCCAATGTTCAAGTTCCTGCTGGACCATGGAGGTCCCGCCCTGTCCTGCTTCAACTGTATCTATGGGATCCGACCCCATCCATCAATCAAAACCACGCGTACAGTGAGGGACCTGTCTGAGACCGACAGTGTCCCCCAGCAAAGAGGCAGTGTTCAGGTGAGCAGTTTAAAAAGAAAAAGCAATGAAATTTAAAATTTGACAAAGTGACAATCTGAAAAGACATGTGATGTTTCTGTGACAAACCAACAGTTCTGTCATTGATTGACCGTCTTGTGATTGAGTTATTTGTTTGATTGATACGTCTGTGATTAATGGACAGTTCTGTGCTTGACAGTTATTTTATTGATTGACAGTGCTGTGATTGACTGACAGTTATTGGATTTATTGACAGCCCTGTGATTGATTGACAGTTCTGTGAGATGATTTCGGCAGCTGGTATCCATCGCTGGGCGGGGCCAATCATTGACGTCTTATTGGACTACGTTGGTCATGTGACCCTGTGCTCTAGAATGATTTATCACCTGGACAGTTACTCTGACTGGAGCAACATCAAGGAAAAAGCAAGTGGGTCAATAATTGATAAACCACCTGAAAACAGACCTTTACAAATATGTGAATAATGTCACCAGTTTGTCTTGTAGCTTCCCAATGATGTTGGCAGAGTGATGTTACTCGTTTGTCCCATACAGATGTTAACCGTTTGTTTAGTTGTTCTACAGTGATGTTACCGTTGTGTCTAGTATTTCACCATTGATGTCACAATTTGTGTTGATGTGGTTTTTCAGCCCCCCCACGCCCACTGCTGCAGCTCTGCAGGGTGCAGATTCTGCAGCTGGTTGGACAACGTTGTTTGAAGAAGTTGCCGCTGCCTGGTGGTCTGATCCGCTTCCTGCAGCACCAGGAAGGATCTGTGGAGGACTGCTTGCAGGAAACTTGATGTGTTTATCCAGTTGACTAAAGTGCTATTGGTATTGATTAGTTTTTTTTATAGTCTGTGTTGTTGTTTCCAGAGTAAATCCAGGATTTTAGGACACTTTCCAGGTGTTTGTAGGTTTCTCCTGTAAGAAAAGCTCCTGATTTTCCTGCATTATCACTGTTCTCTTGTTTCTTTGGTACGTAATCCTGTTGATGCTTTTTGTGATCTGTGGATGAAGATTTGCACAGACAATCGGAAAATATTAACCTAGTCTCTGAATCAAATATGTCTTTCTTGGTTTGTTTCCTTGCAAGGAAGAAAAAAAGGGTCCGTTTACCGTGGCAGTTTACTGCCAAGAACATCTTTTTTTACATACAGGGCAAAGCAGTTCTTATACTACGGCCACGGATCTTTTTCTGCTTTTGTTCAATTCAGACAAAGTAGGAACTATAATCAATACTGTCTCAGACAAAGAATACACGAGCACAACCATCACAAGCATCAACCAATGGGACCAAATAATATTTACAGCTATTGTTGTATAAAACTATTGGCTAGAAGGAAGCCTACAAAAGAACCAAAGACTTAAGTAATTTTCTTTAGTAAAAGACAAGGTAATAAGGCCCCTTTGAGGGTGGAGATGGAGAAGGTGTGGCGCACCCTCTCTACCCCTGCACCACGACGGGATGCTGCATAATTAACGGACAATGTATATTGTTAAATCAATATAATTAACTCAACGACAAGAGCAAACTCAGGAGAACCAATCACATTTATTTACAACAGACATGACAAAACGATCCATAAAAACTGAGGCACTAAAACACTCAAAAGCGCAGGCTATATACGTTTTTTACATGCTGAACACGCTAAGCACGTTACTGCAAATGTAAAAACACTAAACTAGTCCACTTACCAAGTGCTGTTCACTATTCACAGACAAAGTTCATCCTGAACTAACGTCAAATACTGAGATATGCTGTTTGACAGCACACGTGGCGGTACGTGTCTTACGTAGAGGCTGGATTCAAATTGTCAAAATAGTGACCTCCTCACTTCTATTCCTAACCACTATTCCTTGACCTCTGTATAAAACGTCATGGGGTCAAGGAAAGTTGGTCAGGAGAATTCAGGAGGAGTTAGGAAAAGACAGCCATGGATTTTAGGGAATCCGACCCCACTTTCAGCTACATAGTTATGATGCCACAAGAGACGCATGTTGTTACCGTCGGTGTGCAGCAGTGTAACTATATGTAACAGGTAGAACCAACCAGGAAAAAGTTACATTTAATATGTGATTTAAAACAATGATATCACATGACCATACTTTAAACAGAGACACCGGTCCTACTCACCGGTGAGTTTCTTCTACGGAGAGGGGCATATTAACCAGAACACAAAATACCAATGCCCCGTGCCGACACACACTTAACCTACTGTGGGTAACGACACTAACAACATATATGCTTAAATGCGATAAACTCCAGATCAAGCTTAACACTCCTAAATAAATGCAAAAAACCCATACAATTTAATGGTTGTAAACCCATACACAAAATGTCTTTGCATATGAAAACCTTTTCCACAGTTGAAAGTTCCCTGTTTTCACATTCAGTTCAAAATAGTCGAGCCACGGTCCTCCACGTGTATTAAATGTTTCCAAAAAACATTACCGTCCGGGACACGTTCCTCCTCGTTGACGACGTGGATTCATGTGTGCCAGGGTATTACTCACAACCCCCCTTCGGTGAGAGGGGGGGGGGGGGGGGGGCAGGTGAGCTGCGGGCACGTCGAGGACTGTAGTGGCGAGACGGCGGACTGTCCTTGTTCGCTGGCGTGGAGAAGCCTTCGACGCTGGCGACGAACTAACAACGTAACCGAACTTTACGAGCTAGCGAGGACATTAGCCTCAGGCTACAACGAGCTACACTTTTTCACGTCTAACGGATGATCTTCAGAGCTGGAGGTGTAGACTCCTCCACACGGCCGCTCCGACCGTCACTCCTCCGCGACACGAACACTAACCCCAACAACCTAAACCTAAACTTGCAATCGACTGTAACTTCTTCTTAATCGCAGGTGCGCACCCCGGGCGCCGCCATCCTCTTCTCCGTCGTTCCTCGTCTCCTCCTTGTCCCGCCCCCTCCACTCTCTCCATTCGCCAGCGCACCAACTTTTCAGTCACTGATTGGCTGGACCTGTGGTCAAGTTCTGTGGTGCTATTGGGTGTGGAACTTAGGATTGATGTCCCAAAGTAATTGCAAGGGCTGCATATAAATAAATATGTCCACACTCTGGTTGTACCCCTACATATAATTTCTCTGAAGATGGTCTACAAAGAAGCATCTTAGATGCCTTCGTCCATGTGTTGTTACAGTGCTGAGTCATGCAGACGGCATAAAACAACCATGTTCAAAGTATTACTTGATTAACAAATGCAGAATAAATTAGTTATGCTAACAGGTACTTACATGATGTGCATTTCACAGTCATGATCGTTATTTATTTTTTATTAGATCTTTTGAACAGCCAAATGATACGTCACTATTGAAATATTGCCACCGCAAGGAATTGTGGGACGGAATTAACTCCTTTCCTTTCGTAAAGGACGGTCCAGTGGTTAATGTGCTACAGGAGCTAAGTAGAGAAGCATTGAAGCTCCTTTCCTTAGCGTTAGAGAATTCAAACAGCTATTATCATGGCGGCCACTTGCACTGCTTCCGGGTGATTTCACTCGGTTAAGAACCTTTCTAAACAAATTTGACAACTGGAATCCATCCAGACGCTGAGGGGCTAAATCTGTTTGGATAAAAGCTCTATATAAAACAAGCGGCACTGGAAGAAACAGAGGAAGCCAGGAGCTGAGCAATGAGAAAATAAGGGGGGGGGGACAGGGGGGGACATTACAACACATGTAGTGTGTTTCTGAAAAAGAATGAAACAATAACTCCGTGTTTCTGTTTAGGCCAGCAGAGAAGGCTTTGCTGGCCCTGGACAAATATACACTGATTGATTTATATATAAATAAATAAATGAGGTGGCGCTGGCGAGTCAGACATGAGAATGACATCATTCACGAGTGTCAGGTGACAAAACAGGAAGAAAGAGAGAGGAGACTTCTCGGACCTCCAGCAAAAGCCAGTGGGTTCACGACCCAAAAGCAGCATTTTAATTTGAAAGAATCAGAACGATAGAAGGTAAGAGCGAAATACCAGGTAAGCACACTGCTAAGGTCTTGTTTACAGGCTGCTTACTGACCGCTAACCAGTAGCTTACTGAGCGCTAGCGGGCTGCTCACTGAGCGCTAGCGGGCAGCTCACTGAGCGCTAACCAGTAGCTTACTGACCGCTAACCAGTAGCTTACTGACCGCTAGCGGGCAGCTCACTGACCGCTAGCGGGCAGCTCACTGAGCGCTAGCGGGCAGCTCACTGAGCGCTAGCGGGCAGCTCACTGAGCGCTAGCGGGCAGCTCACTGAGCGCTAGCGGGCTGCTCACTGAGCGCTAGCGGGCTATTTTACTGTGTAAATAAACAGAACAGGCTCAGAGGATCTATGAAATCCTGCTACATTGAGGTTAAAACGGATTTTAAACTGGCTAAAAATGGTCAATATATTGATTATGGAATTGTGTGTATATATACACACATATATATATACGATTATGTATTGACTGATTTTACTTAGTCAATTTACTTTACAATACTTTACCTTACTTTAAGGTGGGTGCATTGATTGTTCATAATGTATACTGATTTCTTTAAGAATTGATGATGTATTAATCACATATGGATTGATTATTGGTCCATTATTTATTTTTCAGTATGGCAGATGGTGACCTTTGTCAGTAAATACAATGACTTACTGACTTGCAGTAGTGATGATATATTAAACATTAATTGTGTTTCCCACACAGTATGGAGGATGATGAACTTCCGTCAGCGGATGGGTTGGCTGTGCGTGGCTCTTTACTTGCTACTCAGCGTCATGGCAGTGTACTACGTGTTTGAGGTCCACAGCTTCAGTTTGGAGCACGTGCAGAGAGGTGGGGCTGGCCCATCAGCGCCATCCCTCGCAATCAGCTGGTCTCAGCGGGTGACTGCTTACCTGCCACCACTTCCTGTCTGGTTATGGGCGTTGGTTTTCCTTCTGCCATACCTGCAGCTCTTCCTCTTCCTTTTCTCCTGCACGAGAGCTGACCCCCGAGCAGTGGGTTATTGCGTCCTTCCTGTCTGCCTCGCCCTGCTGTGCAGCCGCCAAGCCACACGCAAACCGGCCAATCGGAAAATTCCGACACTGATCGACACGTAAGCGGACGAACAATCAGAAGCCTGCTGCTCAGCCACGAGAGGGCAATCAATCAGAGGGGCTCACTGCCGGACAACAGACTGAACTCCTCCTGTGTGCCTTTTTGTTTCTATTAGTTAGGAGTTGATGAAAAGACTGCTCAGAATTTGTGTGTGTGTCTGCGTAGCATGGCATCTTTATTACAAAATCAATAAAATGGAGAAACAATGATTGGTGTGACTTTTATCTGAATATTATGAGCAGGTAATCACCAAACTGATATTCTAGAATGACAAACATCTGTGTTTGGGCTCTGGTTTCCATCTGTTTACTACCGAATATACTATCAGACACAGGCGTAGGGTTCTCGACGCATTAGAGTGCAGAGTGGCAGCCATTTAAAATACGTTACCTCTTTATACTGCTTACTGGCATTATCCAGAAATATACATCATGTACTAATAATCTATACCCTTTGTGTAATTGGAGCTATCGAGGGGAAGCAGTGGAGAGAGTGAAGACAGGAAGTCTAAGCCGAACCCTTTAAAAAGTGGAGAAGGTTGGAACAATCTAACGCATCACTATTGTTTAGACTACTGCTGCATCAGGGCTTGTTTGTGAAACCCACCGGGTATTTTTTATTTAGTTTCATATTTGCACTAGTTACCCATATAAGTGACATTTTATATGCACCAGGGTCCGTCTCTAGGTGACATCCTTCCCAGACTTCAAGAAGAATGCCTTGTCCTTTGCGAGGATAAGTCGGTTATGTATTTCTGTATCGGACCCAATGTGTTACACATTATTTAGTCATCTAGATTTCAGGTAACAAAACTCTGAAAGACATTTAAAGACAGTTTGGAAGAATGAATGTAGAAGCTAAACGAAATAAAACATTTATTATATGTATTACGATAGACCTCCCAAATGTGTACGAACAAAAAACATTGCGTCCTCAAGTCTATAGGTTTCAGAAGTTTGTCCTCCGGTGTGTCAGCTTTTGGATTTTTTAGCTGGAGGCTGTAGGTAAGAGCTTGGAGGCTCGTTTTCTTCATCACTGCCCTCATCCGTTTCTTCGCCTACAGCAGGTAAAAGACAGGGGAGTCAGAAAAATCTAGTGGAGTCCCAAATAGGTAGAAGTATGCCGGTCTATCTATTTACCTCTGACTGCTAATGTTAGCAGCACGTAGCTCACCTTCTGCGCAGTCTCCGCAGGTCTTTTCCTGCTCCACCAGATTGCTGAGGAGCTGCGACACGTTCGTGTTCAGCTCATGAACTCCACTGATGAGAGAACAAAGATTATTTTCAACTTTAACGCTTATTTTCTCTCTTTGTCCGTCTCTCAACATCAGCTCTGCTATCACGGCCGCCATCTTTACTACAGCTCTCTTTCTTCATCACGTGGTCTCTGCTGCTTTCAGGCGTTTTACGTTAATTAAATATCTGTTCTGAGAAGTATTGGTAGAAGAGGCTCAGTGCTTTTAACAGGGACATTGATTGTTGTGTTTTATACACGGTTTTAAATTTACAAACATATATTCTATGGAAGTGAAACAGGGACAAAGCATTGCTGTGAGGACCGTTAAAAGTACGTGATTTGTAGATGACACGCGAACTCACCGAAGGGCTACCGCATGAAGTTCTTTTAATGTACTTTAATGGTCTTCAAATGTTTCTTTTTGAAACCCGATGACCTCTGACCCCTCGGTACTGCAGAAGTTGCCATTAGCGAGTAGCAGAGGTTAGCAGCAACTCACCGATTCATAACAAAGCCCCAATCCCCCCTAAACCCTGGCCCTAACCCCCCATTTATCACTGTATCGTATATATTAAATACTATATTAATCACTAATGATGTGGAGACACGGATAAGGCTCAGGTACATTTAATTTACAGTGATGTTTGTGCTTTCAAATGGACAAGGACTATCACGCTGATTATTGTCCTGTTGATGTTTGAGTAACAAGAAGACAAACGGTAGGTGTGGATGTGCAATGTAGGCCTATCCATTAAAATATGAAATGATCATGATCAATTATCGTTGCTATATCAAACCTCTTCTGTAATGCAGTGTGATGTAATAGAACAGCCCTGAATTAAATGTTTCCCTCATTAACGTTTTATGGGTTTCTTCCATCCAATATTAATGAATATTATATAATATAATAAATAAGTAAAATACTTTACAATCAAGAGCTGTATTGAATTCATTAGCAAGACCAGCTGACGTGGTGACAGAACAACGTCCTCCGTCCAGTCTGGACTTTTGAGTCCATTCTCCCGAGGGAGGCACTCTAGGTCAGCACTGCGTTGGCCTTCCCTAACTCCGATAAGTTATGCTAAAAGTTACTTACATGATCTGCGTTTCTCGGTCATGGTCGTTAGTTCTTGGGAACGCCTGAATGATAGATGATGGTCCAGTAGTTCCTATGCTAAATGAGCTAAGTAAAGAAGCATTGAAGCTCCTTTATTTAGCATTTTTGGATTCCAACCCACTCACACTACTTCCGGGTGATTTTACTCAGTTAGGAACCTTCTTAAGAAGAAAGGACCATTCCAGCGCAGCCTGGGACAGAACCAAACCCTCGTGCCTGAGAGTCCGCAGTTGTGTCTCATTTTGTCCTCTGCATCCTCATGAGGAGTCTGCTTTAGCGCTTGACCTGGGCTGGGTCCTCCAACGGCCACATAGGCTGAACCAAGTGGTCGCTGAAACGGGTCTGACGTTGCCTGGCAACCTGCTGCGCTTGACAATGAAAGCTGTATAACCCGAAAAACTAAAATGCAGAAAGAGAATGTAATCTTATTCTTGTTTCATTTAATTTCATTTAGGAATATATGCTTCACGCCAAGAGCATACACATTTATTAACTTGTATGCAGAGACTTTTTATAATCACATCACTAAACTAAATGTATAGTCAGTTTATAATCGGTGGCGGAAATGCACCAATAAGATGTAGTGATGTGTCGTTCGTGAACGATTCGTTCATTTTGAATGAATCCTTACAAGGACTCGAGAGTTTTGAGTCCTCTCAAAAAAAGATTAGTTCATTTTCTCGTGACTTGCATAGGCTCAATGAACGAAACATTGACCCGAAGCCATGGTCGGGAGTAGTTATTATTTTAATGCAGGAATTCATCTTACCACCCCCCGCCGACATGAACGAATGACTCGAAAAAAGATTCGTTCATCTTACTGAACGAGATTCAAAGAACCGAGTCGGTAAAATGATCAGAACTTCCCATCACTAATAAGATGGATGCCAACTGCTATAAACCCAAAAGAGGATATAATCGGGACAACTAAGTCGCAGCTGAAGTGACGTATGCGGTCAACGAAGTCGCAGCCGATGTGACGTATGCGGTCGATGAACGATGAGCAGCTGCACGAAGAGGCAGCCGACCTGTGATTGGGACAAATCGATCGCGTTATTGCTTTGTTTGCTGCCTTATCGAACGGTGTGAACAGTTTTACTTGGTAAGTTTCAGTTGTATTTACCAAACGTTAGCTCACACTGTTTGCATCAGCATGGATATGTTTACGGATGAAGCTAAGCTGTTAGCATCAATTGCTAAGTTAGCATTGCTAAGTTAAGTAATATTTCTAACGTTAGGTAGCTAATTGGTGCTAATACTGTTCTCGTCACCATTTATATAACTAGTTAACGATATTGTTATGTTTCCGGTGGAAGCTAACGATGTTAAATGCTAACGGATTATTCAGCCGATCGGACTGATCGATGAGCTGTCTGTTCGGAGTTAAAGGTAGCCGTAGTTAACCATCACCGTGTCTTTGCCCTGACCACAAACCTCAGATAAGACGCAGCATGAACACAATGTGAACGCATACAAAAATCACCCATTATGTGACCGTGTCTCCGATGCTTATTGTTGCCATCGTTCATTTCAACCAATAACTGCGTATGTTTTGAATAGTGTGTTTATCAGGCTGAATTCCAGATAACCGCTAATTGGGCTCTGTTGTTGGTTTCCATGGTAGCAGAAAAGATGTCTGAAGAGCAGACTGTTTCTCTGATTGATATTCTGGAGGAAGATGAAGAGTTGGAGGAAGAAGCTTCAGCAGTGTTGGCAGGAAGTGACTCTGATCACTGCTCTTACCCTCAGGTCAGTTTCTTTTCATATTTGTACTTATCTACAGATCTGTATATATGTAGAGCAGTGTTTCCCCGACCATTAGAACACCACACCCCCCCTCGCGCCCCCTGTTATTTTCCCACACTTGGCAGTTACACACAGACATGAATAGATTGCGAATATGTCCGTGTGAAGCCCCCCCCCCCCTGATGTTTTAAACCCAGGGAACGCACTGTAGATGCAGATCTATATGTGTAAATACATATAAAAATGCATTATATAATGTATACATGCATACTTATAAAAGTGATCTGTACATAGACAAGGAATAGCTGAACAACAACAAGAAGCGGGGCGGGGGGATGATTACCAGGAACCCAACCTCCTTCTTTCTAAAGCTGTGCAGAAGCTCCTGAGTGGTACAAGCGGTAAAGAAATGGTGGTCCTCTGGTGAGAACCCTGATGGAGATCCTGGTCCATCTCCGCCCCCTGGTGTCATTAACCAAGCTGTATCTAACCCTTTCCATTGATGCTCCTCTCACCTGGAATAAGTTGGAACTACTGAGAGGGATGTTCCTTCATATCGCCAGTATCTTCATCACCAAACCGATCACTGCTTCTGAAGGACACAAAGCTTAACTGACCTGCTGATTTTGGGTTTTGTAGCCTTTTACTGGATACTTTGAATGTTGTTTTACGCAAGAGGAAATGCTTCTCCAAACCATAAGTGTGTTTTTGTGTGTCTCAGGGCTATGTGAAGCGTCAGGCTCTGTATGCCTGCAACAGCTGCAGACCAAAGGGAGGAGAGGCCGCAGGAGTCTGTCTGGCCTGCTCATACAAATGTCACGAAGGTCACGACCTTTTTGAACTCTACACCAAGAGGTCAACACTCCCCTTTTAAATATATGATCAATCACATTTTAGCATTCAAACTGTTAACATTGTGTGTCATTTCAAAACGTACCATGTTACAATTATCAAACATCCTTCAATCAGGGCCTGATCAGATTGTGGTTGGACCTGGATTACTATCAGTCATAGTAAACGAGCTAAACGTCTGTTGTTAGTAAACGAATAATACTTCTGTTGTAACATGAACAAACAATACTCCATGGTCCGGTTCCTCATACGTGGTTCAACAGAGTTGATCAAATATCCCATTATCCAGCTCAAATTAACCCAATGATTGAAGCCAGGCTTCCTTGGCTCCTCAGAGGCTGATCCGCACTCAAACAGTCCCGGTAGTTTCAACCAGACGTCAGTAATCATAATTGCGCATCCTACTACAAAAGGTGGAAGAGTTGATCACCGAAACCATGATTCGCTAACCGCACAACGACAAATAAACTTAAAGGAAGACAAGCAGGAGATGATCATGAAGACATACGAGGAGTTTAAGACCATAATCTGTGTATTTGAATCATATCGGTTGTATGAATTGAACGTATTTCACTTCTGTTATGTTGTTCAATCTGTCTACATGACATCCATCGTAGTCTGTCCATCCCGGGGGAGCGATCCTTCTCTGCCGTTTTCTCTAGAGGTTTCTCTTTTTTTTTTTTTTCTTTCTTTTTTCCACATCAAAGGGTTTTTCATTTGTAAAGGGACTTTTTCCTGTGCCAATATGAGGGTTTCAGTGAATTGAATACGTCTCAAAACCGGCGAGAAAAGCAGCACCCCAACCCTTGGGTTAGGAAAATGTATAGGCTAATTTGAAGTGCCTCATCACTCTAATCAATCAGACTATTTCTTTACCACTACCATCCAATGAGAAAATCGTGTTCGCTCAACTCTTACAGGCCGATAAAACAAGCTCAAAGGTATCGAATTGATACAAATTAATAGTTATAAGGATATATCTACTGTATGCGCTTATCTTTCATATTAGTGTAGATAACCATTTAGAAATAGGAGTTTTTATATGTACTGTATGTATTGTTGGGGTCGTCGTGGCGCAGGGGGTAGAGCGGGTGCGCTGGGAACCGCAAGGTTGGTGGTTCAAGTCTCGGCTGCCACATGTTTCAAGTGGATAAAAGCGTCACCTAAATGACCTGTAATGTAATATTACTCATAATCAATTGAAGCAGTGACTTTAGGAACGCAGCGGCTTTCCTGATGTTCTACGTGTCACTGATACGGTACAAACATGTACAGTCTGTGGGACAGTCAATGCCCGGCTGCAGTGTGTGTGCTGTTGGTCTTCTTGTAAATGAATGATTCCTTGTTGGCAGCATCAATATCGCTCGTACAGGAAGTAATGTCATAACGGGTCTTTGTGATGTCTGAGAACTCTGCCTTTTAAAATGTTAATCTAACCGATATCGCTCCTATATCAATGAGGAAGAGCGCTGCCCTTTTTTCTGGGAGAGTGGCGAGCTTTAGCTGACTTAGCCTGTGCAAGTTTTTGCATGTGTTGCTATGGTGATTTTGCCAAACGTGTTTTGTGGAACCAAAAAGCCTGATTTATGTAATCTTATCCTGAAAATGATCCAGGTAACTTGGTTAGCCACTAACGAGGAACGGGGCCCTGTTGTAAGTAATGAAACAATCAATACCTCTGTTGTTACTAAACGGCTCCTTTTCTGTCTGCAGGAACTTCCGCTGTGACTGTGGAAACAAGAAGTTCACAGAGCTAAAGTGTAAACTTAATCCTGTGAGTTCACATCACATTCATTTACATTTTGTTTAACTGGAATCGATGTTCACTGGTCCCTTTTAAAGATAATTTAATATTATCCTCCTAATTAAATTATTGGAATAACTCATTAATGAATAATTATATTTATAGCCTGTTAACACAGTTAAAAAAAAGATATAAATTATTTTGAACGTGTGTTTCTTTCTGGCACTAAATACACATACATACATACCATGGGTCAGAGTAGGTGGGGTGTGTTGATCAGTATAGGCGTCCTCACACGTCTCACCCAATGAGAGCATTTTTGGGCTGCTGCAGCGAGGACAGGAACCTGGAGAAAAGGAGCAAACTCTTGCGTGGACATTTTCATTGCAAATCTTTTACAGACGGAAAATTGATGAAAGTTATTGATACTTGCATCACTGAAAGTTGTTTTTTTTTTCTTGACCATAAATGGACTTCACACTAAACTCCCTGCACAGTAAAGGCAAACTGTGTACTTCTTGATTGACTGTTTATGCTGCTCTCTGATGAAACCTACATGCTCACGCTGGTACTTGTTTAGGAACAAAAAAAACTAATGGTTTGATAAATGTGAACTTGTTATGATCGTGGAGGGTAACTTGGTTTTCTATAGCATTCTAAATAAAACATGGATACAAACGCATTCAAACACACACACACACACACTTGTTTTTTGCCGGTTCCTTACCACTTAAAATATTCAGGGCCTAAGACCTGACCAAATGACCTGGCTGCTATCTAAAACCCTGAAGAGCATCAGGCGCTGGACCTGGGGCGACAGGGTCTTCTCAGCTGCTGCACCTCCCCGCTGGAACGCCCCCTCATCCACATCCACCAGGCTCCCACCGTATCATCATTCAAACAAGCCCTCAAAACCTCCACATGCTAACTTCTACATGATGTATTCTGTGCAGTTTTCTCCAGTTCTATTTTATTTGTTTATTTTAATTATAGTGTTTATGTCTGTTTCTATTATCTGGTTTTGTTCTGGTCTGTCATTGTAAAGTGTCTTTTGGTACCTAGAAAAAAACCCCCGAAAGTATTCTTATTTGCTGGTACACAGGAAAACCCGTCTAAACTTGTGCAAGCTGGTTTTCAGAGTTTGTTGCCAAGTCGCCTCGACGTACGAGGGCCGACCAATTTTCATGTTATTGCTTTATTTGGCAGGAACATGGCTATAGAGCTATGTTTTGTCTTTCAGGTGAAGGAGGAGGTCAACGCTCTGAATAAGTACAGTCATAACTTCTCTGGACTTTACTGTACCTGCAGCCGTCCGTATCCAGACCCAGACGACCAGGTGAGACGCACAGTGCTCAATGGAATCTACCACATGCAACGTTATTTGTTCATGTCTTTATTATGTAAGACACACAGGCTGATGTTGCTGTGAGAGAAATAGTTTTCAGAATTGCTTAGAGAGGGCCATTTCAATTATTATTTAAATGATTAGACCCCATCGGATTAAATGGAAGTCTGTGGTGTCGCACGCAGCAGCATTCTAACCTTTATTTAAGCATCTGGTTTGAGGCTTGGTTCTCATGAAATGAGGATTATCATACGTACAATATTTCAGTTACATATTGCCATGTGTCCACAATAATTAATAGAGGGCAGTAAACGTAAAAACCAACAATTAAGCATTTTAATGAGACATATCTTGACATTTAAGAAATCGCTCAATGTAAGATAAAACAACGTCCAGCCCTTTCCTGATCTTCACCGTTCGCTGGCCTTTACTTGACCCATAACTGACCATTACCTCAGCACCAGGTGTGCTCTTTGTTCTAAATAATATGTGTCCCCCTGTGTGTAGGTGGAGGACGAGATGATTCAGTGTGTGGTGTGTGAGGACTGGTTGCATGGCCGGGTGAGTTCTATTTTAACCTGGGTTCTAACTCTTTTCTATTCAAATTTAGTCTTTATTTTAATAACCGTGTCACTTGTGAAGTGTTTGTCACCAATCTAAGTCCGCTGCATCTGTTGACAGCACCTGGGCCGAGTGGTTCCAGACTGTGTCGAGCTGCAGGAGATGATATGTGAATCCTGTATGAACAAAAACCCTTTTCTCTGGACCTACGCTGCTCACCTGTCAGGTAAACCAGGTTGTTCTTCTCACCTCTCAGGTAACTAGTCTCAGTTAGTCTCCGGTTAAAGGTTCGTATCACCTCTCTGGTGAACTACCGGTCCAGTTAATCATCTTTTTCATATTTGTGTGACATTAAGTTTCAGGTGCAGCAGTTCAGGTGAAGGAGGAAAGAGATGCAGAAGAGTCAAACACAAACCTTTCTACCAAAGACGAAAAGGTGAAACGATTAAGCTTAAAATTGTACATCCGTACACTACGCGAGTAAAATTGCTTTGCTCTATTAGATCGTATATGTCAAACTCAAGGCCAGTGGAATTTTTTGGCCCGCAGGATAATATTTAGTTACTAGTTACTATTAAAGCTGGCTCGCCGGTATATTGTATATAATAAGTAGCTGTTATCTTTAGTCAGTTCAGCCCACTTGAGATCAAACTCACACCTCAACATCTAACTTTTGCTGACCCTAAACCATCACCACATCACCTATTGATGTGATCGATTTAATGAATAATCTGTCAGGGTGCTGACGTCATCGAGCCCAGCTGTAAGCGAAGCCGCGAGGAAGCGGCCCCAAGCTGCAGACTTAAGGAGCTTCGGGCGATTGGTCAACAAAGAAGCCAATCGGGAGCTGTGTTCTGGCCATCAGGGTGGCGCTCTAAGCTCTGCTCGTGTAGCACCTGTAAGGTAAGATTTAACAGTGTCTATTGGCTCACATATCGATGATGTCAGCTTGTTGTTATCTGACCTCTAAACCACCAATGAGTTATTCAGGATGATCTGTCTGGAGCCGACTTGTCCTTCCTGTTGGACGAGTCGGACACCGTCCTCGCCTACGAGAACAAAGGAAAGACCAATGAACAGCGACAGCCGGGACATGACCCTCTGATGTCAGCTCTGGACAACCTAAACCACGTGCAGCAGCTGGAGATCATCCACGGTATAAAAAACGAACCAAACTACGTATTCCACTACCAGTATTGCACGTTAAACTACCAGTATACTGTATTAAAACTACCAGTAGCACACATTAAACAATTAGGACTCTGTATTAAACTTCTAGTACAATGTATTAATTCACCAGTAAAACATATTAAACTACCCGGAGTACTTATTAAACTATTAGGACTACGTATTAATTTACAAGTAACTCATATTAAACTACCAGGACTACTTATTAAACTGGCAGTATTCCAATTTAAGTTGCCTATATTGAACATTAAACTACCGTTACCCAGTGGTGGCAGGTCCATAGAGGGCAATGGGGCGTGACCATGAGCCAAAAACATTATCATTTTTTAAAATGATATTAAAAATACGTTGTGCAAATAGTCAATTTTTGTTTATTTGTGATATATATACACATACATTGATATACTGAATTGTTTGAATAAGATGTCCTTAATTAAACTACTGGGATGTTTACTGAAACTGATTGGCTGGCCCTACCAAATACAAAAATACGCCATTGCCATTACCGCATATTGAACTACCAGTGGTACACATACAACTACCATAAACTATTTAATTACCAGGACTACACATATTATTACTAGTTGTACTTGACCACAAGTCATAAGAAAAGACACACAGTATCTCTTGTCTGTTTCAGGGTACAATGACATGAAAACTGAACTGAAGGACTTCCTGCAGAGATTTGCTGAAGAAGGAAAGGTAAGTCTAGGAGTGAGATTTTTTGCCTGACATTTGATCAGGGGTGAAAGGTAACTGACACCACGCTCAAGATGTAAAAGTCTCCTGTCAATCATAAAGTCATATGACTGTACTCTGATAAGTTGAGACTGCTCATGATGTCACGTAACTCCTCTGATATGTTGTGACTCCTGATGATGTCATGTGACTGTTCTGATAGCTGTGTCTCAATTTGTGGGCTTCATCCTCATGAGGATCCAGCCTTCGCGGTAGCCCTAGGCTGGTCCTCCAACGACCGCATAGGCTGAACCGAGTGGTCTCTGGAATGGGACGGTCTGTCCTACGGGGGGACTTCCTGCTTGCGTCATCAGCTTTCCTCCGCTGCTCCCGTTGCCTAGCAACCTGCTGCGCTTGAATGTAAAAACCATAAAACCTGAAAAACGTTTGAAATGTAGATAGCGATGGTAATCTTTATTTAATTTAAATTCGGGAGATATGCATCACCGACCAGAGCATGATGATGTATTTCAGGCTGAGAAAAGAACATTTTCCGGTTACATTCAATTTAAATCAGTGAAACCATGTACTTTCAGCTAAAGGTAATATTGCAATCTTAAGCCATACAACATCAATCAATACTGTCAATAAAAACCATAGCAGCAAACACATTTATTAACTTGTATGCAAGGGCTTTTTTTTTTCATTGTTTTCTTGCCCAAATTAGCTAATTTAACTAACTTAAAATATTACAGAATAAGTTTGAGCTACAGAGGCTGAATGTCACCAATTTGTTCTTTCAGCTTGTTGTTGACTAATGTTTAGTTAGTTTATAATCACCCCACTAAACAGCAAGTTCTTTGTGTATTTATTAACGTTTGAAATATTAACATAATCATAATTATATTATAACTTTGATACATTTCTGTTCATAATACGATGTATAGAGGCTGAAAGTTGAGGCATTAAAGTGACTTTTCACTAACTACGGGCGAGCTGCTGGTAACATAACCTGCTCGTTGTGTATTTGTTATTAATGTGTGTTGGTACATTGGGTTTTCATAAAAAGCTGTTCTAACTAATAGCAGTTGTGACTCTTGATGATGTCATGTGACTCTTCTCTGATAGGTTGTGACTCCTGATGACATCCGCCAGTTCTTTGAGCAGCAGAGTAGAAAGAGACGACGAGATGATGCCGGATGCTTTTAACCTGCCTTTGACCTTGATATGACCTTTGGACCTTTTCTTGTTTTTATTTTTCAGTTCATTTTGAAGTAGACAGACTTCCTGTTTTTAACGTCTTACGTCTCAGTGGTCACCAACATTATTGAATGTTCGTTTCCTTTTTAATGAAAACTAATAAAACTCAGCTGAACAATGACTGAGTCATCATATTATGGGATCAATCAACTGCACTGATTGAACAAAACAAACCAATGTCATCTCTGTCAGACATACAGAATCTATATGTGTGTGGACCCCTTGGACTTTTCTACATTTCGTCATGGTATAACCAAAGATTCAAATTGATTTGAAATGGGATTTTATGGACTAAAACAAAATTGTCCAGCATCTGAAAGTTGGGAAAAAGTTTTCATGGATTTCAAAATGATTTACAAATACAAATCTGAGCAGTGTTGAGTGCATTAGTATTCACCCCCTTTACTGTAAAACCCCTCACAAAGATCTGGTGTGACCAAGATCACACAAGTCACATTTACAAGTCTTATAAATCGTGAATAGGGTCCACCTGTCTGTAATATAATCGCAGTATAAATACATGTTTTCTGTGGAGTGTGTTAGAGAGCATTACTGAGCAAAGAGCATCATGTAGACCAAGGAGCTCACCAAAAGGCTCAGGGATGAAGTCGTAGCTAAGTATGAAGCACGGTTAGCTTATAAAAAACATCCCACGCGTTGAACTTTTCACAGAACACCATAAAATCCATCATCAAAAAATTGAAAGACTGTGGCACAACCACAAACCTACCAAGAGAAGGCCGTCCACCCAAACAGACACAAAGGAGAAAATAAATCTGAAGCAACCAAGAGGCCCATGGGAACTCTGGAGCATCATGCCGCTCTTCAGCAGCTACAGGGAAACTAGTCAGAATGAGGGAAAGCTCGAGAGAGGCAAATACGTAGCAATATTTGAACTAAAAGGGCGTATGGAGACTGGCGGAGGTTCGTCTTCTAGCAGGACAATGATCCTAAACATACAGTCAGAGCTACCTGCCTTGACAAAGCACACACCTCAATCAAATTGAGAATCTATGGCGAGATTTGAAAATGGCTGTTCAGAGACAGTCTCCATTGACTGACAGAGCTTCAAGAAGAAAGGACGAGAACATTTCCTTCTCTAGATGTGCAAAGCTGGTGGAGATATTCCCCAAAATACTTGCAGCACTTCTAGGTGCTAAGTGTGTGTGGGGGGGGTCTATTTTTCTGTTATCATTGTTTGTGTCACAAGAAAAGGTATTTTGCACCGTCTATTTGAATTCTATTTGTAACAGAACCAAATGGGATGTAATGTACCCTGGTACTCTATAGTACTGTCTCATCGTGTTTGTGATGTAGCAGGGATTTTAACCAGTAGCTCTGTTCCTGTTTGTTCTGGAGATGGAATCTAATCAGATGCAGCTGCAGACCAGCTGCTCTGTTTACTGTCCTTTCTAACGTCTAACGCCACTTCTCTGACAGCACGCAAACAAGATGTCATTTTAGATATATTTCTGATTTTTTACTAATTTTACTAACCCTTTTATCATATTTATTTAGACTTACTGATATATTTGGGGTAAGTTAAAAGTTTCCTAATTACAATTCAGAAAATTAAGATGACCTCCACTAACTCCCTCCTCCTATCTCCTCCCACTTCCCTACCCTCCACCGCTCCCTTCCGATCCAGCCACAGTGGTCAAAGTGAAATCTTCGCCACCAGAGAACGGTCAATCAGAAACAGAAAATCAGAGTTCAACAGGTGTTGCTTACTTACACGGTGTGTGTTTGTTGTGGTAACAATGGCGAGTGTTGTCCTGAGGAGGATGAAGACTTTAACTCCACCAAAAGAAATAGTGAAGCAGACAAAGAAGATGATCTACAGTAAACCTCCGAGAAACAAGATCGGAGCCGCAGTGAGTGTCTTCATCTGTCTCACTATTTGTCTCACTATCTCTTTATCCGTCTCACTGTCTTTATCTTCGTCTGAGCCCCTTTGACTTTGTGACATCGGGATTCATCGCCTCTTTTGAACTACAATTTAATTATACCTATATGATGTTCATAATGTTCGTACGTTCATGATATTTATAATGTGAATACGTTCATCATCTTCACACATCATAATATTCCCTAATGGGATCAATTGAATCACTTGAACTACAAATCAAGGGCCGTCACTTTTATCATTAGTAGATCAAATTGTAACTGAATCTTTCATGTTTTTCTTTTCAGAGGTATTGTCACTGTTTTACATGTGGTATGAATTTATGAAACTATCATGTGATAATACATCTGATGGTATGAAACATAAACTACATGAATTGCTCAACTCACCTGCAGCATTATGATTTCCATTCTACTATGGTTTACCCAGAATGCACCTGGTTTCAGATTTATTCATGTAAAATGTTTTTCAAATGAATTCAACCATGTTCATTTTAGTTTTGTTAATGACCAATCAGAATTACTACGGATGTTTTTTTTAATGAACTAGATGTACTTTCTATCCTGATTTTGTCATGTGGTTGTCTTTTGTGCCTCACAGCAGAGTTTCTTGGTCATGTCGCTGTTTGCAGCAGCCATGTTGACTCCGGCTGCCTGGATCCTTCATCACCTCCCAGAGTACCGCCAGCGGTCCCAAGCGATGCCGAGAGACTGATCCTGTTCATCTTCACCGCAGGGCGTTCGCTCAGCAGTACATTCTGAACTGCAATCAATAAACATAAACTTTAATCATTAAACAAAGTGAAAATATTTAATGAAAATGTGTTTTAATACGTAAAGAACAGAGTATACATTTCCAAATTAAGAGAAACCTGCAATGCTCTCTGCTATAGCCCTTTATTTTGTTTAAAACATTTCCGGCACGTCGTCTGCTTCTCTCTCTGCATGGCTTGTACAAACAGGAAGTGTTTGTGTCTTTACAATAGATAAAATAAAGCCTCAGTTTGTTTGTGTTGGGTTTGTTCTGCTGCACTGAAGGCTAGGCACTTCCTGTTTGAGAGCATCAGTTCCCACAGATATATAATCAAACCTGAGAGGAAGGGAAACCGACATCTTCATTATGGGGAAAACAACAAACCCGTCTCTTTGATTTAACAATATTAAACTTGTGGTGATGAAAAGTTGAATACACTACAAAAAAGCATTTTGGGTCCTAGATCTGACACAACAGTACATCTCCCATCTTGGAGGTCTCAAGATAAGAACAAACTTTAATTATAACAGGACTCATTAAGCAACCAATAAAACAATGTTTCTTTAAGGCCAATGTTAGAACCTGTCGATTAGGTTTGGGTAGGTCTGGGGCGACAGCCACAAGGGGGTTGTGTTTTCAAAACAGTTTGCTTTTTTCCATCTGGGTTTCTTTGTTAGCATCTTTAGTTGTCTATGTAGCCCAGACTCTGATGTTTCTCACGGTGGGCAACATTGTCATATTAGTTCTGGATGAGGGCCTTTTTATTCTACAGTATGTGGTAGATTCAACAGGGTTTGCCCCCCATTTGGGAGGAAAATCGGGTCCAAGAGAAGGCCGGCTGAGACAAGTCACCTTACTCATCATGCCCTGTGGGAAGGTATGATTGCGTAATGTGGTGTTGAGAATTTCTAAGTGATGGATGGCCTGGAGTATTTTAAAATATGTTTTTACTCGTGAAAATGTGTGTGTGTATACTAAATTTGTGTATTTCTCCCCATGGAGACGAGCGGTGGAATAAACCCTGCAACAATTGTAGGTTGAAAATATAAAAAAATAAAATAAAATATGGATGGATGGATGGGTAAAAATTAGTGCTGGTTAAAGATGAAAAAATATAATTGATAATCATGTTTTTTTTTGTGGTTGACAGCAATAAGATGTGCAAAATTCAATAATGAATTAAAAACTAGTCCATTGCATGTTCTTTTATAGGTAATGTTATCAGAACAATATTACAGGCACTCTGGGAGCAAAAGCCAGAACAAGATATTGTTCCTTTTGAACTTTAAATCATCTTTCAACTTTAGGTGGGCTGACAAAACTAATCGACCCCCTCCAGTGGCTCAGACCCAGTGAGCATGGCAGAAAGTGTGGCATATAATGGACTAACCTGTATGTTAGATGATTTTGATTTGACTGGGTACGCTGCCAGGGTTTGAATAAATCATCTAAATGGTGGTACTGCAAGACAAGTTCATCTTTGTTGTGAAGCTCAGTCTGTAAGATTATAAGTGAATGATTTGAATAATAAATAATCTTTTTCTATGTGTAGCCAGTGAGGAAATGTCCCTCCTGGGCTACTGGAGGATCAGGCAGTCCTTGGTACCTCCTACTTCGTGGTTTACCCATTGGACAGGGTATAAAAGCTGCACATGATGAAGCTGTGTCAGCATGCTTGTCCCTATCACTGTTGGAGTCAGGCGTGAGAATCCAGTGAGCTGGTAAGTGATTTTATTATTAGTTCTTAGGCAAATGATTGGGCCATTTGTGATCCTTCTGGTTTGTCTCCCAGCTTGTCAGGCCCAAACCATGTGTGAGCTTGCATTCATTTATTTTTTATTTTTTAGTAATTGCGTATTTTGATTTGCTGTGTGTGTGTGTGTGTGTGTGTGTGTGTGTGTGTGTGTGTGTGTGGGGGGCATCAAAGCTGGTGAGGGCCATGTCACAGACCCTGTGCCACCCCCGCTCCCTGCTGCGGCCTAGTCACCAGTAGCACTCAATTTGTTTGTTGAAGCCCATTTGGTTTAATTGCTTCGTATGATTGCAATATTCTTTGAAAGTTTAAAATGTTGTAATCTGTGGCAGTCCTTTGCCTCAGTCTGTTAACTTCGTTCACCTGTTGATCTGTGGTTGATTAATGAATTTTCTGAATAATCCCCCCCCCCTGTGTGGTTACAAATGTCTTTCCTACAGTTGCTCAACTATCCTGATTTAATCAGCTAAAACTAATCCATTCTCATACAGCAGCCCTACAACTCATTCTCTTGTATCAAGGAAGTTGACCGCCACATAGAAATTGGGCACTGGTACTCCCTAGCGGAGATTTACTCACATGTTGATCTTTACTAATTGCTTGTGATCTCTTCTCAGACTGCTATGGCTGGTTCGACACCTGCAGAATCAAGGTGAGCATTGAAAAACTAACTCTTCCAAATTGCATGCCAGAGTTACTAGATTATCTTCACTGCAAGATGAAGACAACCTTTAAGTTTAAGGGAAACTTCTGACTTCAATACATGGCCCAAGATTTTGGCAATTCCTTTTTTAAAATATCAATTCTACCACTGAATTTCACTGACGAGGCCAAATGGTTTAGTTGATGTTTGACCTTTCTTTGTGGATTGCCTGTCAGCAATTGAGTAACCCAGTTGTAGAAATTGTTGCAGATAATTTAATTTTTGTTGAATTTTGTCATTTACTCATTTCATTTGGTTCAATATGCGTTGGGCAAGAAACCTGGTGGTGCCATGAGTACAAACAAAGGGTATGACTGACTTGCATTGTTAAAAACTACACTACCACGGAGACATAGCTCATACATCCAACTGCATGCATTTTCACAATGTTTTAACCGTTTGAATTACTTGGTAATTTAAGGTGATTGCGATGTTTGTTCTATAGTGTATGTGTGTACCCTGTAAAAATGCACATTTCTGACACTTTGAATTGGTATTTAAAGAGCAAAGTTTCATTAATTGAGTTTGTTGCACAATATATCACAAATGGGAGTTTTCTAAAGTTTATTCATTTGAATAGTGTTTTACTTTTTCTTTTTTCTCCTGCAAAGTAAACTTACTGTACTGTTGGAATATTGAAATTTCAACACTAGTGTAACCTCAACACTGTAGGTTAAGACCTTATGTTTACTGGCTTAGTGTTACGATGTACTCCAATTTGACAGTCAAATTAACTTTTTACCTGTAATGTAATTTTGACAGTGGATTAATACATTTTCAATGTATTCTGTAGTCTTTTAGTACACTAAACTGCAATTGCTGATTATGGGCAGTCAACCTCAAGTGAAAGAACCGTCCAGGTCAAAGGAGAGAAGATGGGCAAGGCCTGGGCTCTTCATCGAGGTATTTGTTTTGGTATGTAATGCTTGTTCTGCAGGCTGTGAAATGGCTCTAATAAAATGTATTTCTAACTGTATAGCATGCCTGAGTTGTCTGCCCTGGAGAACTATTTGGATCCTTGTTTGCTGTTGGCCAATGTTTTTGTATTGCTAAATAACATTGGCCTGTGTATGCAAGAAGATGCCATCTAGTTAGTGTTTCAAAGATTTTTCAAAATGAGTTTGGTAAAGTAGTGTTAGGATTCCACGCAGGACCGTCCAGAGAAGACGACAGGCTCCTTCCTCGAGGATCCCCAGTAGTGGTCCTTCTTCTGGAGCTCCTGCGATAGTGGAAATTACCAGCAGTCTTGAGTGAACGGTAAGACTTTTTTTCCAGTAGTTTTTGATATGTAATGCTTGTCATGCAGGCAGTGTGACAGTTCGAAAAAACAGTACATTTAATTAGACTTGTCAAGAGCCTGAGTGTTGCATAATGTGTGCACTGAATTTGCTTCTAATATGTAGTATGTCCTGAGCTATGCTTCCCTCTTCAGCCGCTTCATTTAATATTTGCAGTTTCCCTGTATGTGCAAAAAGCATCAGTGCTTGGGGAAAAAATCCAGTTCAGTTGGGTAAATTAGTTTTGTGATTCCACGCAGGACAGTCCAGAGAAGACAACAGGTTCCTGCCTCAGGCTCCCTAGGAGTGGCCAAAGAACTTCAGCCTCTTGTGAAAATTGCCAGCTGACTTGGGGATTTGAGTGATAGGTAAGTCCTTTTCTCCAGTACTGCTTTTGTGATGTCATGCAGGCTGTGTGACAGTAAGACAGATGTCTGGTGGCTCATCACAGTGTAACTCCCCCTCTTGGCCAAACCCTGATTCGAACATAGAAAGAGTTTCAGAAGTAAATGTTTAGGATTAAGGCAGGTTTTTACTGGTTACTATTAGTTATTTTATTTGAGGAATGATTACCAAATTAAGGTATATGTAAAGCTAACACTAATTAAGCAAATTGTAGTTCATTTTTATTTTGACACAAACAAGCAGCACACTCTGTACACCTTCATTTCCTGCAGCAATTTTGGCAGCAATTTCTTTTAAAGGTTCTCCCAAACACCATTAAACGAAATCACTTTAGTAAACTCTCGA